TTTTTTTGTGTTTTCTTTTTTTGTTATCTTAACCGTTATTATTGATACAAGCACATGGCGTTGTCGCCCTGCTTGGCTGATTATCAATAAATAAATAAATAAACTGGTGGAATAATCGTTGATTGATGAACATTTCTATCACATTTGCGCTATAATGACAGCTCTTTCATTCCTGATTAATGCGCTTGCACTTTGACATGGCTTAGCTCCACAGAAAGGGAAAAAAAATTTTTTTAAAATTTATTTATACGCCGGAAAAGTGAAAAAAACTGTCACCGAAAAAGCCTAAATTCTTTACATTCTTTCAATAATAAAAGAAGTCGTATTTATAAGTAAATTCAGCCTTTTCCATGATCGCCAAAATTTACTATTGCCGAACGGTTGAATTGGATATCAGAGATAGTACAACAACAACATTCGTAAATATGATTAAAAAATAAATTCGTAGCAGTACCAGTATAATAAAATATTAATTGGACGAATGAACACCATACAATTGAATAGCGATGGTACAGAAAATCTCATTCCTTGATTTCTGAAGTTACGTAAAAGTACTGCTGCAAATCCTGTAAGCATATTTGCGCATAGTTCTTCATAGCACACCTTCAACAAATGTATTCCCTGGTATGGGAAAAAGAAATATTATCAGATGATTGGAGCAATGCAATTCTACTTCCAATTCTCAAGAAAGGTGATATAATGATACAACGACAATTATCGAGGAATCAGTCTATTATCAGATGTCTCAGCGAAAATTTTTGCTTCCCTTTTACTCAACAGACTTATGGAAGTACTTACGAAATAGCAGGATGCGTCCTAATCAAGCTGGATTCAGACCTGGGAGCGGCTGTGTTTACCAGATATTCACGTTAGGAAGGGTGTTGGAACATCGCTTCAGATATTTGTCACATGTTTCATCGACTTTGATTCAGTTGATAGATCGGCGCTTTGGAGGATTCACATCTATTTCCATCCTCAATGGACTCCTTGGAATATTCATTCAATGTAGCTAGCCAATGAAGCGAGTTTAACTATAAATATTCCAGGGAAAATCATTTAATTCATAAGGACATTCTATAAGCTCACGTCGGCGAATGTCTGTGTATATGGGAAATCGACAGACTACTTCGAAATAAAAACTGGGGATCCGTCGAAGTTCTTTACTTTGCACTACAATATTTCACTATGCGATAGAATGGATAATGGACACCCTTTGTCGGCACTCAAGAGGTGTCAAAATCAACCCAGAGCTTGGTATCACAGATCTTGAATACGGTGATTATGCAGTCCTTTTTGCTGATAGTTATGACGAAATGCTAAATAACGTGTCAGTGACTACAGCGAGAATCGAACTCAGGTCAATATAAATAAAACGATAGCCTTTTTGCCTTATGTGCAAGAAGCTGAGAAAATGCCTCTCTTTATAAATTTATTGCCGGTTGAGGAAGTCGATTTTAAGTACCTTGGGTCCACTCTATTACCAAATGGTCAGGCAAAAGACGATATTACAACTCGTATCAAGGAAGAAATGTGTTCTATCGGTTGACGAAACCTTTATGGAACTGGCATGAAATCATCGTAAAAACGAAAGTCTGCATCTGAGATATGGCCAATAAGAGTGGAAGATACTAAAAAGCCATCTGCCTTTGACCACTCTCGTCTAAGGTACATTTTACGGGTCCGTCGAGCTAATAAAATATCACATGATTGCATCCACCTTCGTTCAAATAGCACCTGCATTAATAATGTTATCACAGAGCGTCGCCTTCGCTGGTTAAGGCACGATTTCCGCCATCTACCACAGGAGTTGACGCATATTTCGTTACTTGCTAAACTCTGTGATGGTTGGCGTCAGAAGAGAGAAGGGCCAATCAAGACCTGGACTAATACGATTAGAAAATATTATAAACATATAGGTGGACCAGCAATATATTGACTTAGACGATGGAAAAAAGAAGTAGCTTCTATTACGTCGACGATGGCATCAGACCGCGTCACTTGAAAGTTTTACCCTTGTACTGTTGAAGGCAGCCCAAACAGAAATGGTGAGAGCTATTGTTAGAAGAAGAAAGGTAATTATATTTAGACACATCTAAATTAAGGATTGAGAATAATATTTTGGAATATTTTATTGTTTCATCCAAGATGAACCTTTCAAGCGGATATTTTCTCACCATTTAAAAATGTAATCTGTAATCGTAGCGGTGAGAGAGCGGGAAGCAAGCGAGCTCGTTAATTTTTTTCCTTCTCCAAACAATTATCTTCACTTACAATTGCCGTCCATTGATTTGTTAATCCTTCAAATAACTTTTTTTTAAATAATAAAAAAGTTTGTTCTCATTACAATAAAAAATTTTCACTGCGTTATAATTAGAAGACTGACTGTGATAAATTTCCACTTAAGTTTTGTCGCAATTACCCATACTCGCCTCTCAGCTTTGTTTATTTTATTTTCCAGTTAGGACGACATACAAAAGACGGTCGTCGACGGTCTTACATGTGACGAGTTTATAGGGTGAGGAAATGAGCGTGAGGAAGGAGTAGAGATGAAGCATAACAGCCAAGCTTGATTCAGACCAGACGCGAAAGAGGGAGAAATCATAACAGAGTGTAACCAAAATATTGCTTAACGAGAAACTAAAGCCTTTAATCTTCTGATCTTTATCTCCTAATTCGTTGCACAGTTTTTTTAGGATTTCTGCTTATTAATTATTAGCTGTGCCGATTGTTAGTGATCGACCGCAGACAATGAGCATCGAATTTTTTTGAATTGTTTTGCACGAATTGTTTACAGCTCATCCTTTCCTTTTAAAGGGGAGGGATGCACATTTCTATTTTTTAAAGTTATTTCAATTTATTAAAATATTATTAAGTATTAAAGTATTTAATAATCGACATTTTAAAAGTAAATGAAAAGTTCGCGTTTGCAGAAGAGAAATTTTTGTGTGCATACGTTCAATAATCCTAACAATTTATCCTTTTTCATTGGATCGATTCTTTTTAATTCTGTCCTTTCTTAAAAAATAATTGTTTATTTTCCATGAAGCCAATTTTAAGCGAATTTTTGGAGAAAAAAGTTGACGCATTGTTGTTGTGCTTGGACAATTTTATTTATTAGCCACAAATGTTATTAGAACTGAATTTTAATGGTATTTTGGAAAATTGGAAATTATTAATAAAAATGCGATGGTTGTTATTTTATGTTTACGATTTGTTAAATATTCCAAAATTAATCAATATTCAGCGATGGATTTTTTCGATTCTTAGGTCATTGCTAATCTCGGAAGAAAATATGGAACGCCGAATTTATCGGTGTTTTTTGAAATAACCGTTCGATGACTACTTTTTCTTTTTTCTCTATTAATATTCACCACTTTGTGCTCACATTTGACTCATTCTATACGTAAATATCTCATACAGCATTCTTGTTTTGTAATTAACTCACTTGCACACAGAGTTTATCGTTTTACGCTTATAGCTGAATAATAAGCAGTTTTTATGCGAGTGATTGAATAATCAATCATTATAAATAATTATCGTTAATCTGCTAACATGTTTATGTCTTATCAGCGCAAATGTGTACACAAATAGAATAAAACGATAAATATTTCGAACTATTTATAATTTGCTGTGAAAATGCAATTTCGAATTGATAAAAAAAATTTGCGCTCATACATTTCCCATTTTATTCTACCATTTTAGATTATTCGTTAACGGTGATGTTTTGGAGTATTTTCGCAATAATGAAATTTATTAGTTAATTCGCGGGAAGATAAAATTTTATGATGGCTGAAAGTTTAGAAGGTTTGCTTGCTTTACTTATTATTGTTATAACCTTCTTCTTCTAACAGTTCTCACCATTACTGGTTAAGCTGGCTTCGCTGGCTACAAGGGTAAGACGGTCCGACGCCATCTCTGTTACTTATAGAAGCCATTCCTTTTTTCATCGTCTGGGTCCAAATATCACTGGTCCCCCTCTACGTTCAAAATCTTTCCTGATTGTACCAGTCCGAATCTTGGTTGGCCTACCTCGCTTTTGACGCCAACCATCACAGGAAGTAAGTAAGTAACGATATATGCGTCAACTCCTGTGGTGGGTGACGGAAAATGTGCCTTAGCCAGCGAAGGCGACGCTCTGTGATAACATTGTTAATGCAGGTATTTGAACGAAGGTGGATGCGACCATGTGATATTTTATCCGCTCGACGGACCCGTAAAATGTACCTTAGACATGAGTGGTCAAAGGCTAATGGCTAAAGGCTTTCTTAATATCTTCCACTTTCATTGGCCATGATTCGCAGCCATATACAGAAAAGCATATTTCTAGTTGTCGTTGTCTGGGTTATGATTTCATCCTTTGCTTTGCCATTAGAGTAGGTCCGAGGTATTTAAAGTCCAGGATTTCCTCAACCGGCAATGAATTGATAAAAATAAGTATTTTATCAGCATCTCATTATTATTATAAGCAACTCCTTTTTAAAGGAGTTTAAGATATGTTCGCGCGATGTTAATTTTGATTTTTCATGTAATATTAAGTTAAAAGAAAATTTTAAAATATAGAAATGATGACTTAGATGATAAATAAAATAGTGATATTGCCGCTTCTGCAGTCAAAACCTTCACAATGTTCCAGGTTTTAATTAGTCCTTTACGCTTTTTTCACCGTCCATCACATTTAGGATTTAGTAAAATAAATTCCTGTGGTGAGATGACGTTTTATGACGATATTTGTAATGCTGATGTTGTTCGAGCAAAGGTGTTGTCCACTTGGCGGGTATGTAAGATGTATCTTAGGATGTAAAAGCGTAAAGAGTGGTCAGAAGCACATGGCTTCTTGATACTTTTGGCCAAATTTCACAATCATTCAGAGTCATTCATATTATAATCAGATAGATGAGAATTTTTATTTTAAGGCTGATTTCAGAGAGGTTTCGCGAGATGGTAGAGGGTATTTTTGGCTGCAGTTGTACGGGTTAGGATTTCATCTATTAGGCGTAAGAATGTATCCAAGATATTTAAAATTCCACACTTCAACCGTTGATGAATTAGTTCAAACTGTGATAGCATCTGGAAAAGAAAAAAGTTTTATATCATTTAGATTGATTTTAGTGCAAATTTTCGCTGCTGCAATCGATTTAACGTCCGTTTCAGTTTCTCATAACTGTAGCTATCAGCAAAAAGGACAACATCATCCGCTTATTAAAAGTTCATGGTAACATGTACTATATTCTCGACTTGTAGATCTAATGAGCCGGCCAGCAAGCGATGTCCATAAGTTTATCGCATAATTGAAAATTATAAGGAAAAGAGCGCAACGCAACCTTGACACACACCGGCATTTGTTTCAGAAGGTTGTGTGATTTCTTCATATCTGCGTAACAAAATATTTTAAGAATGATTGAGTCTGCGGAACTTCACTACATAACATGCCAGAGCGTCTTCCTATGGATTGAATCAAAATGGAAGAAGCAACGGTTGTTAATTGTAGGTTGATAATACTTGAAATGATGTTTCTTCTCAGTGTGAAAATTTGGTCGGTGGAGTCATGTCCAGGCTCAAATCCGGTTTTAATTGCTGTGCACTATTTCAATAGCCATGCGTCTATTCAACAGAAGAAGCAAAAACGTTTCCAAAAACCGATTCGATTCCTCGATAGCTGTCGCAATACATCCTGTCATTGTGACCCAGAATTGTCTTCCTTTAGTCACATGAAGTTTTATTCTTTCCCACACCAAGGAATATAATCTCTACAAATGTATTGTGAAGTATGTTGAGTAGTATTTGAAGATTTCAGCTTCCAGATTTTCTTCAAGGGTTTTATTGGATTTAAGCTTGTGAATTATAGAGATTACTTCGTATTTGATTGGTGGTTCGCAATTGTAACCATAAGCTTCAGTCATTTTAGACATGCTGGATGGTCCTTTCTAGTTAAATTAGGTTTAGATCAAGGAAACCATCCATCGGATTAGTAGTCTTTAGGGTATTTCCACTTTTATCATGGATCTTATTGTCCATTTTCGATTCGCCGTTACGAAGTGAGCAGTTTTCAATAATCGCCCAGTCGATCTGGTGTCTGCGTATTCAAAGCCATATCTAATATTGATTATTGTCTCGTCTTGCTATGATCATTACGAGTCTTTAGAGCTTCTCAGACACCTAGTTTTTCCTAACGCTTTGGCGCAGTTGAGCAGATTTTTCTAACAGCTCTCACCATTTCTGTTTGGGCTGACTTCAACAGTACAAGGGTAAAACTTTCAAGTGACGCGGTCTGATGCCATCGTCGACGTAATAGAAGCTACTTCTTTTTTCCATCGTCTAAGTCAATATATTGCTGGTCCACCTATATGTTTATAATATTTTCTAATCGTATTAGTCCAGGTCTTGATTGGCCCTTCTCTCTTCTGACGCCAACCATCACAGAGTTTAGCAAGTAACGAAATATGCGTCAACTCCTGTGGTAGATGGCGGAAATCGTGCCTTAACCAGCGAAGGCGACGCTCTGTGATAACATTATTAATGCAGGTGCTATTTGAACGAAGGTGGATGCAATCATGTGATATTTTATTAGTTCGACGGACCCGTAAAATGTACCTTAGACGAGAGTGGTCAAAGGCAGATGGCTTTTTAGTATCTTCCACTCTTATTGGCCATATCTCAGATGCAGACTTTCGTTTTTACGATGATTTCATGCCAGTTCCATAAAGGTTTCGTCAACCGATAGAACGCATTTCTAGTTGCTTCGATCCGACATCGTCACGTTCCATCATCCTCCAAAGCGCCGCTCTATCAATTGAATCAAAGGCAGCCGCAAAGTCGATGAAACACGTGATAAATATCTGAAGCGATGTTTCAAAACCCTTCCTAACGTGAATATCTGGTAAACAACCCGCCCCCAGGTCTGAATCCAGCTTGATTTTGGCGCATCCTGCTATTTCGTAAGTACTTCCATAAGTCTGTTGAGTAAAAGGGAAGCAAAAATTTTCGATGAGACATCTGATAATAGACTGATTCTTCGATAATTGTCGCAGTATTTCCTATCACCTTTCTTGAGAATTGGGAGCAGAATTGCTTTGCTCCAATTATCTGTATTTTTATCCATGTTAATATTTTTTTTCTATACTAGAGAGTATAGTTATTAAAGGTGCATTATGTAGAACGATGGACAACATTTGAAAAGACCCAAAGACCATCTTTTCTCTGAGACTTATTGGTCTTAAGCTTAAGAATAATGGGAGTTATTTCTTCTTCTGTCGGATGCTCGCAACTACAAGCTTTTAATTCGGTGGATATATCAGCTATATCAGAGGCAACAGATGGCGCTTCATGGTTATGTTTGGCCTACAGGAATTCCTACCATCTTATGAGGCAGTCCTTAACATTCTTGACTGACACGCCATTGCTGTCCTTTACTGATCGTTTCTCGAGTCATAATTTCCTATTATCGCCTAATAGAGCTGCCGCATCCATTCTTAAGGCCGTATCACTCCAATAGTGATTTCCCGTCTTGCTACTTTCGTTGCAAATCTTTGAAGCATCCGATAGTCAGGATCATTTGACATTCGTGCTTTGGCAGCTTTTTCAGACAGTTGAACAGTTATTTCTGATACCCAACTAGCGCACTTCCTACCAGTATGCGTGAAAGTGGTTGACTTTCTTAGACATTCCTTTAGTTTAGACCAGTATTCATTTGCCCGTTTCAGCGTTGCGATAGGAACAACTAGTACGGAACTCTTCCAACGGCGACTGACTATGATATATAATCAATCTGGTTGAAGTGATCCGGAGAGTTCTTGGTGACTACAATACCGGAAGCAAGTATTAATAACAAAAAGTTCATGCTCTTCGGTATAACGAAGGAGGCGTTCCGCATTGGCGCTGCGGTCTCTGATGCCATATTTGTCAATTGTCGAGGTAATCGCAGCGATATTATAACCTACCTGCGCATTCCAGTCTCCCCCGATTATGACCATGTTATGTTTCGATAGAAATTTTTAGAAGTTGAAATTCTGCATGGAACTTATCTTTATCAAGGCTATTTGCCGACAGAGTTGGAGCTTATGATCGAGATATTGCAGAACTTACCCTTATAGCATAGGCCATACGATTGTTTTCCGTTCAATCAAAGCGGAATGAGCCTTGTCAGATATGACAGTCGTTATGCCATTTGACGAAATTGTCCGAATTATCCGAAGTACCACAGTGATATAGTAGCCAGTACTTTTGCTCCAATCTAGGACTAGTATTTACTCGAGAGTGAAAAAGACGGACGTCCAACAAGTAGGCGATATCCACACGATATTTAGAAAGGGTGTGGAAAGTAATTGCTTGACTTGCAACGCAGTTGGACAGCTAGCTGTTTGAGATACAACTTATCTTCTTCCAAGTCATCGATTAATTGATTCCTGGAGGCTGGACTTCTACTGGGAGCAGCATTCTTCGGCATTTCCAAAGATATAAAGGTTGTTAAATTTTGTTCCTATAGTTCCTCTAGTTATTTCAGCACCTCAAAAATGTGCTGGTTGTCAAAAAGATTTTGGTGGGCGTTTTTTGGCTCGTCTTTTCTTTTGGATTGATTCTAACCATAACTTAGTATGACCCATGGAATCTGTTCTGCGAAATACTGGGTTATCTAGTGTGGAATCTTCTACTAGCGATTGACCAAGGTAAAGTCAGTCTGATTTAAATATTGATCATTTTTCGAATTCCTTGCAATTAGATGTTTTCTGAAAGCATATGTTGATGAAATACTAAGTTTCTCAGCAAGCCAAGGAAGTTTCTGTTCCTTGAATTTAAGTCAACCGGTCCTCAACAGAGATCGTGTCCTTTTGTACATTAGCAATCGCAAATGCATTTCTGAATTATCCGAAGCATCACTGTCATACAGCCAGTAGTTTATATTCTAACTAGGTTCAATCAACCTGTTATAAAACATGAAGAGTTTGAAATTTTTTACAAAATACTGGAATATTTTAAACCAATAATTAACAATGACATCACAATAATAATACAGTACAGATGACAATACAGATGAATGCGACAGCTTACTACTGAGTGAACCAATGGAAAATGATTCCAATTTAATTTTATTTCATTTTATATTTGGAGGTTAATTTTGCTTTATTCGTGATTTTGTTCGATCATATAATTTTCTTTGCTTAAAAAAATATAAAAAGTCTCCTGCAAATTGAATTTTTTAAGGTCTCATAGTTGCAATATTTGAATGCGCCGTTGCATTACCAACTTCTAATGGTGCAAGAAATGAAATCAGTGGCTCGCTTTTCGATATTGGTACTTCCCAACCGTCTGTGTTTTTTTCCGCTGCACATGCTTTCCTCATCCAGCAAAATAAGGTTTTTCATTGGGAATTATTATCAATTTGTGATAAAAAATGATGCATTAATTTTTATTTCGTTTTCAAAATATTAAAATTCCAAAAATTAATCTTATAATTTAATCGTTTATATGAGATAAACGATAGATGTAAGCTTGGTGTCGAATAGTTCCACATAGCTCTTTCATTGAAAAAATAAATTCTTCACTATTCATCACCATTAATCACTTTTAATTTTGCAGCTTTCTGGTCATAATCGCGCATTCATTTTATCTATTATAAATAAAATATTGGAAAGCTCTCATGTATCGGAGAATTTAGATGAACAACAAGCTTTATTAATTATAAATCTAGTCACACAAGAAATAACAATTTCAAAGGTACATAAAAGATTTGATTTCGTCAAATTTGTTTTATCACAAATTGTTTTATAATCTGATTGAAATTGCTTTTTTGCATTTTTTATTTTTTGCTGTTTTTCCATTTTTTTTCGGGGATTTATTTTGTGCTTTCATTATTTCTTAATTTTTCTTTTCTTTTCAATATTTCTCTTTACTGTCATTTGTTGGGTGAGCCGGCAATTTTTAAATTTAAATTTGGCTATTTACGGATAATTATGGTAAATGAACAAGTCTTGATATGTTTTATGAAAAAATATTAATAAGAATAATAATAATAATGAATATCAATAATAAGACTAATGTTATTAAATAAAAAAATAAAAGAATAATTAAAATAATTAATGAATTATTGTGAATAATGAATTAATCATTATTAGTCTTTTTAGCTTGAAAATTAATCATTTTTAGTCGACATATTTGTGTATTTAATTTGTAGGATCAGGAAGAAGCATGGCCACAAGCTGCTTCTGACGTGCTTGTTACTTTGGCTAAGAGAAAAACCTTAGTGAACCATGTTATGGATGCTGTTTTGCAGAAATTTCCCCCTGGTTTATCTGTACCTCCTCATCGATATATAGTCTTATCAATGGCTAGCATTGCCGAACATAACGGTAATTTAAACGTTTTACATGATTGCTTTTGTTCATTTACTTTGATTTGGATTAGGATTCTCTCGCTGAAAGTATTTAAAGGTAAAAAAAAAGTTATTTATTTAGTGAATCAGTAATTAGAAAAAAAATGTTTCTGTATCAACAGCAATGTGTATTAGATCCTATGCTAATTATTGTCAATTATTCAGCCATTGGTTTCGTTCCATTTCTAACCGATATTCTTTCTCGTTCCATTCCACTGCTGCAAAATATTAAAACGGATTCCCATCGTTATGCATGGGCACATGCCTTTCGATCATTTTGTGAATCATTACGAGAATATACAACAACATTTATTATCGATAAGTCTCAAGCCATAAATGGTCGAAATTTAAAGGTCAGTAAATATGGCTCTGAATTCGCGCCGAGCGATTATACAGATCAAATGGAAATGGTTTATGATTCGGTATTCTGCTGGCTCAGTTCAAAGGATCCGAAGGTTGGGTATATTTGTTTTGCTAATTGATTGGCTAATTTTAAAAAATTATGAAACAATTAGATTTTAATCGATTTTATGAAATCGTATAGGAATGTCGAGTATTTTTTTGTCTATTTTTTGCCTAAAATTTTTTAAAGATTCTTCTAACAAAATTTTTTAAATTTTTAAGATTCTTCTAACAACTCTCACCATTACTGACTCCTTTGACTACAAGGTAAAACATCTCCAAACTGTTCGGTCCGTTGCCATCGCTGACAATAATAGAATTTTGTTAGAAGATCGCCATTCCTTTTTCCATCGTTAAGTCCATATATCGCTGGTCCACCTATACGTTCAAAATCTTTCTTGATTAGTTCAGGTTTTGACTGGCCATCCTCGTTTATGATGCCATTCATCACATAGCTTAGCAAGTAGCACAACAGTTCTGTGGTGGACGATGAAGAACGTGCCCTAACCATCGGTGTTCTGTAATGATAGTATTAATGCAGATAGTATTTGAACAAAGATATTGCAATCATGTTAGGTTTTATTCGCTCGGCCGACCCGTAAAATGTGTTTTAGGCACGGTTAGTGAAAGGCAAAGAGCTTCTTAATATCGCCCGCTGTCATCGGTCGGCCATTGGTCTTCTCACAGCCATATAGCAAAGTCAAGCGAATCGCTATTATGTACGTTTTTTTTTTAATGGGGATTTTGTGACGGCTCCATAAAGATTTCATCTATCGGAAGAACGCATTTCTGCAGTCAACTACAGTCATCCATGTTGTAATTTCATCTTTTTCCTGGCCGTTCGGTATATTACAGTGTGGATCCAAAGCATTTAAGGTCGGGCATTTCATCAATTGGCGAAATATTTTGTTAGCTTCTCGTATATATGGGAATAGAATGGCTCACTAGGTTGTTGCTTAATTCGTAGCGCCGATGCTGAGGTCTTATTTCCCGCAGGAATAAACCTGTCTAAAAATCCGGGTGGTGCTGGCGACTCATCTGTACTTCTTTCGCCAAGGGACTTCTTGGCAATGCGACAAGCCATCGACCAGTAATAAAAATTAAAAAAACTCGTATAAAAAAAAATTAGAATTATATCAAGGATGATGCGGATGGTGAAGTTTCGCTTCAAAGATTCTTAATAGTTTTCATGTACCTCTTTACTATCCCGTATCATTTCATTGACCATTCTCCATGTTATAGTTACTTTATGAAGAAGGTAGAATAGTCTTCTGTTATCGCCTAATCGAGCCAGCGTTTCTTACAGCTATATTACTCGAATAGCGATTTCTTTCTCGCTTCTTTGTAATTCTTCATTGTAATTCTTTGAAGCATCCGATCAGGATCTCTTCATATTCATGTTTTGTAGTAGTCAGATCCATGTACGTTATTACCAACTTCAGTGCCCCAGTAGGAACGACTACCTATCTAGTACTGAATTCTTCTAATGGCGATTGACTGAGATATTATCTGGTTGGAGTGTTGGTTGTCCGAAAAGTTTCACGTCCGAAGACTAGATATTTTCTCCGATGCCGGAAACATGTGTTAACAACGAAGATCCTTTGCTATTCGACAAAGCAAAGAAGCACTCTCCATTAACGCACTCTGATGCCATATTTGTCAGTTACTGAATCGTTACCAGTGCACCCATTCCAGTCTTCCCCGATTATGACCGTCTTTCGGTAGAGATGTTAGTAGTTGAAGCTCCGCACAATCATTTACTGGCTTCCATTCAACCAGAGTGGACCGAGCTTTTTCAGATATGACAATCGTTATGCCACTTTATCCCAAGTTATCCCGGAGACAAAAGTATTGTACGTTTAATTATTCGAGATCCGACGTGAGGAAGACGGACTTCTGACGAACATTCACGCGGTACTTAGAAAGGGTGTGGGAGGTGATTCTGACGAACATTCACTTGGCTTGCAATGTCCATAAATCTTCTGATGTTTCAAGTGAACATTTCGCTCGACAGGTTTCGACTAATTATCCTGCGAATGAGCATCTCGTGAGCATATTCTATTCTCATTCCTTAAGGTTTTGTATACCCAGATTGTGTACTTATCGCATCTACCACTCGGTGGAAATATCATGGGCGTCGGAAAACGCAGACGTCGGATGAAAGAGACCTGACCCTTTCACAGTAGAGACACTTGAGGATGGGGTTACGAATGGATTTCCAGCAGCTATTAATGACAGGTTTATTTCCATCAAAGATTAAAGTAAAAAGTTAAAAAGTTAGGAAAATATAAGAATATGGAGGACTTTACAAGAAAAAATAAAAAAAAGTTATCTGTTAATATGGAGCACGACCGCCAACAGATGTAATAGCGACAAATATATGATTATCTAATTTCAATTATTTAAAATTATTTTAAATTAATTGAAGGTGAGAGCAGAAACTGCTAATTGTGTAGGCGAATTGTGTTTAGTTATTACACAGAAGCGGTTAAACGAAGAAATTCGTAAGTTGATTCCTATGTTACTTAGTCTCTGTCGTCGAGCAACTATCGATCAGCATTTGATAACACAGGTAAATTAATTTAATTTTGTACAATTTCGATCTTTTTTACTATTTTATAAGTTATGAAAATTTGAATAAATGAAAATTTTTGCAGTCTAGTATGGCTTATTTTTTTAGCATAAATAATGGTTACAATAATATATTAAATGTTTTTTCATGTTATCTTTTCGAATTTTCTAATGAATTTTCCTGTTGTCTCGATAATGGAAAAACCTTTGTAACTTTTCAAATTTATTTTATTTTCATTTATTCATTATTTTATTTTTGCTTTCATAAATGGATATTTTGCCAAACCGAGGCTCTCAATACTTTTGTCTTTGCATAATTTTGATTTGCTTGAAGTAAATGAATTAATCTTTGCATTAAGTATTTAGTTTTAGGGGATTTGCGTCCTTCTTGAAGCTGCGTGTGTTGACGACTCGTGTTCACTTGAACCCTATTTAGAAGATATCTTGAATACATTGTTCCCACATGTGTGTGTATTTAATGAAGAAGCTATTAATTCCAATTTTACGATGCGTAATCAAAATGAGGCATTTCGTTGCTTTCATGTCGCTGGTTTCTATTCGTTTTATATTTGAAAATTTCTTTGCAATCGCATGAAAATTCTATCATGTCACATTAAAAATTTTACAGAATCATTGAAGATTTAATTTTCAGTTTCATGAAATTTTTGTACATAAAATATTTGCTCAATTTTTCTTAAAAATTTCATTGGCATTCTTTAGCATCCCGATTTGCTGATAAAATTGTATATTATCTTCTTCATAAGATGCAGAGTAATCAAGATCCTTGTAAACTTGGAGCCATAAATTTAATGCGTCATCTTTTGAATTCCGCTGGTAATTTTAATTTTAAATTTATAAGTATGTCGTTTAAATTTTCTTTTATTTTTTTATTCATGATAATTCACCTTTTCTAAAATACCATCAATTAATATTTTTTCCATTGATTTAGTAATTATTGCTAGTTACTGGGCATTCATCTACATAATAAAGGTTCCATATTTAGATTTTTTGATTTACCAGGAATACATATGCCATTCCTCGCCATTTTAGAAATTTTTTTCAGGAAATATAATTTTTTCAGGTCCTTATATGGAAGATAAACGTGCATTAGTGATATTGGGTCTTAAACCGATTCTTCAGGCGGGAATTTCTGATTCGCTGTCAATTAAAGTTAAAAAAGCATTATGTCAACTATGTATAGCCTTAGCCGATCATGGATATATTGATGCACAAGGTGGTTGTGCAGTAATCGAATTTCTTGTGAAAAATGCTGTCGCAGTGGAGGAGATTTCGGTTTGTTTTGAAAGATTCAGAGGAATACATAATTTTGATATTAAAATCTACTTTTCTTTTCTTTTATAGAAAAAGGTACTGTCTGACAACAGTTTAGGATTATCATTACGAACTCAATGTGGTCAGGCTTTACAAACTATTGCAAACACATGCAGTTTCGCCCACAAGGTATGATCCCGATTGTCTTTTTATTTTTTAGATTGTTATAATTTTTTATAACATAACTTTCCTATTTTTATAACATAACTTTTTTTATGAAAAAAATTTAATTTTAATTAGTTAATTAGTAATTTTAATTTGATAAAATATTTGTATGCTTGATCATCATTTATTTTCACATAGTTCTTTTTAGTTGTTGTGGCCATATCTTTTTGTATATATATGTGTTGAAGCATATACACCAGTTATTACTGATATAATTAAGTGTCTTAGACTACTTGCTGAACGGATGGTCGATGAGGGAGAGAAATTGGATTTTGTTACTGGGTTTGATGAAGGTTCTTTTTTTTTATGATGTTTCTTCTATTAATTATTTTCCATAAAATTCCGAATTCAAATTAGTTTCAAAATTAATTCTTATATTGACTACTTGCCAATAGAAAAAGAATTCGTTTAGGAAGGTTGTTTACAAAAATTTCCAAATTATCAATTAATGTTTTTAAGAATTACTTTATATAAAACTTTATAAATTACTTTATTTTTAAACATACAGCAAATGTTGCCAATAATCTCCAAGTTTTTTGTCGTCTTTTGGTGTGTTTAACTAACGCACCATTAAATTCTTCTTTGACAAAACGTGCTTATGAAGCTCTTCGTCTTTTGCGCGCTGCTGCTTCATGGTTTCACAGTTCGTTGGAATCCGTTGTGGAAGAATATTATGACAAGTTAAAATTTGCTATTGATGGTATGTTTTCTAGAATATATTTACTGTTTCCAGAATATAAAAAAAATTTGAAATTAAATTAAAATAGTGGATGAGTTTCATTTTACTTGATGATTACGATTTAATTTTGGTAGGTTTATCGACAGTGGGGGAAGAAGCAGTGCCAAGTAGCCAGTTGAGCCCCAAGTTACGATCTAGATTTATTGTCGAATGGCACACGCAAGTGCTTAATTTTCTCGATGCTTGTGTTGTTAGCGTAAGTGAAGGGGAATGGCGATGTTGTTTGGCAAGTACTATGGCAAAACATTTTAATTTATATATAAATTTCCACGATGAAAAAGTAAGTAAAACATAGATATTTTGTTTTGCGAAAATTTTCATTTCAGTAGAATATTCAAATACCAGTTTTTTTTCGCTTTTTCAAATTTTTATTTGGATCATATGATCTAAATAAATGATTCAGTGTGCATGTTTTGTTTATTCTGTTTCTTTTTTTATATTTAATTGTTGAAAAATATCCTTGTATCCTAGAGTAATGAAGGAACTGGATAAATTTGAATAAAACGACTTCAGATTTACAGATGGCGACATTACTTATACTTTAAAACATGTTATAAATGTATTAAACTTAATTATTTGATAGTCATTTGATAAGAACTGGGGAATAATATTCATATTTGTTTTAATTTTTGTAATATATTTTCAAACAGCATTAATGTTAACACTTCATGGTATAGGCCTTTCTAATGCGGTGCATTGGTCAAGTTCTGGCTCGCATAACAAACGCTGCGTTTGTTAACGCCCACTTAATGCTAATGTTTCGCGAAACAAATCATTCTTATTTGGTTGAACGAGTTGGTTGTGCGCAAGCAGTTGGATATTGTTCAGTTACTCATATTGATCTGGTTATTGCTGAGTTGGAACGTGCTATAAAATGGGATTATATGAAGAAACGAGCCAAAGTTTTCGGATTTATACAAGTATATTAAAATAATGCATCAGTTTTTATGATGTCATTTGTTCGTATTTTCATTCTTTTTTTGTACATTTTACGTCAAATTTGATATTTTAATTGGTTTGTTTTTTAAGGACATGATACCTTATAAAAATTATTCGGATTCAGAAATGGCGAATTTACATGCAACAATAATGCTTTGCTACGGTAATTGATAGGAATTATTGTTAGATAAAAAATAATATATTAAAAAAATAACAGAATATTTATGTAATAATATATTTTTATTTATATTATTATAAATATTTACAAGATCTTTGAAGATTTGACTCAATATAATTTACTCTATCTTTTTATGTTTCATCATTCTCCAATTCAATGTGCATGTTTTGTTCATTCTGTTTCTTTTTTTATTTACTTTGTTAAGTGCAAATAAATTTTTTCGACTGATCGTAGGATCTTGAAATCAAAATATAGTTTTATAGGTTTTGTGGTTTTCCACTGTCCAATTGAAGTCGTTGTTCAGCAAGTGGAAAATAAAGTTTTGCAATCGTTGCGTCGTCATTTGGAAAATCCTCAGGTAATTTATTTCTTTTAGTTATTATATGTGAAAAGCCTTATTATATATGAGATTATATGTGAAAAGCCTTTCTAGTTGGAAACTGTTGAACGCGAATCGCTTTTGCAAACTATATATCTTATAGCAGTTAGTGTACATCCTTCCTATCTGAATGCTGATTATCATTTGGAAATTCTTAGTGAATTTTTGACTCACATAAAGGTGCACATTCCAATATTTATTCTCGATTTGTTTATTTTTATTATTTTATTTTTTAAATTTCGGAAATTCTCTCGTTAAAATATTTTTCCTGCTAAAATTTTGGATGTTTGAGTTTAAAAAATGAATTTTTCAATCAATTGAAATTTCCATTCTAGAACTTTGTTGAAATAGAACATTCTGAAATGTTGTCCAGTTCAGTGCGTCTATTGAGTGGTAAAGCAATCAAATCTTTGTTGTAAGTAAAAATTTTCTCAATTCTAAGAGATGAAAATGAGATGAAAATAAAGCGGTTTTCTCAGGTTCAAAAAAAAAATGATTTTCAGGAACTTGCAGCCGATCTTGATGGACAAGGAATGGGCTCGGATCATTCGGACTTCAGATGAAGAAATATCTATAAGGAATACAATTTTTTGGCCTTGTATTCAATCGTTGACCAATTCTGTCTTCCCACTTTGCAGAGAGAGAAGTGGACTAAAAACTGTTCGTAAACCTTTAGTTCGCATTCCATCAATTTTTTATTCTTGCTTTTTTTGCTTACTTTTAATTGCTCATTGTCATAATATGATATTGTTGCATTCGCTGATATTGAAATTATTATGGATTTTTGTTTCGTGGTTTGATATGTAAAAATTTTTCCATTTTTTTCCTTCAGTATTTTAAGATAAAATTAAATCAATTGCATTTTAGCTAAAAAAATTTTTTTATTAGAACTTTCAGTTGTTTCAGAGAATTTTCCTAATTTTTAAATTTTTTTAAAATTTTTAAATTTTTTAGCTCCAAAAAAATTTTTTCTTTCTTTTTGCCTTGTTTTGAGATCAGCTAATTCTAGGAAGCGATTGTTTATGGATCGTTGATGTATAAAGTTATGCGAAAGACATGTGAAGATGAGGGAAGCGTAGATCGTAATGTTCCAGCCACCATTCCTGTCTCGAATGATTTGAACTATGCTTTTATTTTTTCGGTTACTAGACATTTTTTTATTCACAAAAACTTTCACTTTTTGCTAAGTTTTTTCTATTCTCTACATTGTTATTTTTATTTAATAAATGATTAATTTAAATCTGGTATTTTATCTGGTATTTTAGTACAAAAAAAAGTAAATTTTTTCATTTTCTAGGTTGATAGTGACGAAAGATCAACAGTAGTGGAAGCGACAGTTCGCCAATTTCATGAAGTACTCGAATTGGTCATTAGAAAATATCCGGTAATGGATACAGTCAATAATTTATTAGGGGTTTGTGATTTCTTTAAAATCATTTTTTGTTCCTATAGGTTACGGTCGCTGGTGTACAAAATTATGCGAAAGGCATGTGGAGATATATATTAAAAGAATTAAAACGATGATTCAATTAAGTTTAGGTTTGTTAAGTTTGAGCTTGTTTTATTTTAAAATAAATTTATATGATTTGATTATAATTGATTTTTTTCAGCTTTTTCAACCTTATTATTCTTCAATAGCTGATCATGAACGTATGCGTTCGATTGAGGCCACCTTACTTGTTTTAAATATATATTTCGATGCTGCTACTGATTTTTCTCTTGAGGTAATTTTTTGAGGAAAGTTTAATTAAATGAAGATTTTCTAGTTTTAGTATTCAGTATAGTATTCAGAATTTTATTATAGGTCTAACATACTCGAAAATTTTTTATTTTAGCTTTTGATAATGGCACTTAATTTTTTTGATAAACTTTAATATGGAATAATTAAAGTTATAACTATCAAAGTTACTTACATGATGACATGAGATCTTCAAATTAACTGTATATTGTAATATTACGTTATGGAATTTATTTTCAATAATACAATAAAGACAATAATCGTTTATAGCGCGCTAATGAGTTTACTGCGATGGCTTCTTTATTGGCATTTCTTGTTCCCAGAATAACGGATTCATTATGCTACGTTCGTTATAATGCTCTGAAAGTCGTTCATTGGACGTTTCGCCTTTCCTTTGTGCTAAAAGGTATTAAGAATGTAGTGGATCTTTTTTACTAAATAATTAACTATATAAACATGTTTATATATAGGTGTTGCTCGAGAAACTCCTGATCCTTCTTTATTCGATTACGACACATTTATGCAAGAGAATCTTGGTCATGAAGAAAAATTGGACAATTTGATATCTCGAAAGATTATAAAATTCATGGCTAATGTATTCATTTTATTTAAAGGGATATATTTTATATACATTTCATTCTCAATTCATTTTCTCTTTCCTTTCTGAATTAGGTTGAATTCGTGTGTCAGACGAAATAGCGTTAATTGGTTTAACATTCAAATTCTTCATGTTTACCAGAAAAAGCCAATCTTTTTGAATTTACAAATTAAGTATAACAAAAAGATTATTTTTAATCTTTTCATCGTTTCTCGTTTGAATTTTATAGTTCGCAATCTTTTATTTTTCTTTCCAGATCGTTGAAGCTCGTTTACCTAGCTCCTTAGTGAATAATTATATGCTATATTTATTCAATATGTTGAATGATCGACAGAATCAAGTGGGTTCTGCTGCAGCATTGCTTCTTTCAAACATAATAAAATCGCGTGGAGATACTCTAAGAAATGAAGTAATTTTTTTAGATTTTAGATGTTACTGATGAGAAGATTTCAGTTCTTTTCATAAATTAATTAAATTTAGGCAAAAATGCTCATGGATGTAATGTTAACCAAGCTGTCCGAAGTGCATTCATCTGCTCAAGTCCATGATGAATTGCAAAATGCTTTCTTGGAACTCGCAAATCATCAACTTCACCCATGTATCGATGTGATGCTCTCTCATCCTTTACCTTATTCCATGTATGTGCTTTTTTATCAGTTATTTTGTTTTTTATCATTAACGGTTTTTTATGTTGATCGTAGTGGGCCAACAATATCGTCAATTTTCCCCTCTTTGGCAAAATTTAGCTGATTCAGCGGAGGGAAGCAAATTAAAAATGGTGAAGTTTTTTTAAAGTTCTTAAAAAAAATTGTTTTGTTATGTTTTGTTGTTAGAATGTTCAAAAACGAGATGTGATTTCGAATCTGTAGATTTTAAAAAATTTTAATTTCTTTGTTGTTCGTTCATTTATGCTTTGATTTCGACTAATTGATTACTATTATTTCGATTATTATGTTTTTTTAAAAGAATTTTCAACTTTTTTTTATAAGATCTGAGAAGAAGCTAAATCGAAATAAAATTTACCATTTCTATATCTTTCATTTAGCAATGTTGTTGAAGCATGGCACACATTGGTCAGTGAATCGCTATTGTTTCCATTAATTACTGAATATCTGATTGAACTCATGGTAAGCGTTTGTGAACCCTCTTCGAATTCAGACATAGCATATGATTTTGTCGATATTGGTTCTGGTACTTCAACAAAAATTGTTCGCGCTGGAGTCTGCTCTTTAGCTGCTGGTATTATTGAATTAGTGAAGGTTGGCGTTTCTCATTTATTAGATCTAATAAATCATTTGCTTATGATATTTTCGAAATTTTATCGAATTTTAGTTATTATTCATAAAGATATCTTTTGATAGAAATTTAATTGTAATTGAATAATTATTTTCAAGAATGGCCAACCTGAAAATGAATTTTCCAAAAGAATTCCTCAGATTATTGCGACCCTTTTAATATATTTGGCTACTGTTATTGACACTCAGTATCCTCTGGTTCAACAAGAACAAAAAGATGGTTAGAGTCCTCAAATAGAAATAAAAAGATGGTTAGATACTTAAATAGATGAATAGATTTTCTTTTCTATTTCATTAAATTCACTTAATTCTAAGCTTAAAAGTATTTTAGGTTCAAAATCTCCGTTAATAATAACTCCGGAACTACGCCGAGTTTCTTCATCTCCAGCGACATTAGTTTCGCAAGCACTTCTCACTCTTTTTGCTCGCACTCGAGACGAAAAAATTGTAGCTAAAATGAATTCGGAACGTGCGTGGACTGATTGTATTGATCCTGTTAATTATACAACTGCAGTAATCATTGCTTAATAATATATAATATATATTATTTATAAATCCTTTTGAATTATGTAAAGAAAACTTTTTCTAATAATTTTTTTCTTTTTTATTATTTATTTTTATTTTTATTATTTTCTTTTATTATTTTCTATTATTATTATTATTTTCTATTATTATTTACCTTCTTTTATTATATTTATCTCCTGTTTTTTTTATTATTTACCTTCTTATGTGGTCTCTATGGTTTCTCTGGTTTTTAAATACTTACTTACTAGTGATTGCAGAATTCTTTATAGATTGTTGTTTTGATTCGTTCAGTGAATGAACATCGTCCTTCGTGGATTACGCCTATAATCAACAATTTATTACCACGAATCGATTCAACAAATATTGCTTGTCGAATAGCAGCTACAACAGTTTTTTCTTCTCTCGTCAAAATGTATGAATATTTTTGGATTTGAACTTTTTTTACTTTGGCATATCTTTTTGTTTTGCTTTTCCTTAGACGTTATTTTCTGTGCAATATTTTTCAGAATTGCATTATAATCAGAAATTATTTGTGAAATTCAGAGAATTCTTGTAAAATTTTTGTTTCTTTCATATTTTTTCCAATAGTTCATCTTAAATCTAATGCCTCTAAATGTAAAATTTTATCTCTAAATTTTTTCTTATCAAACTTGATCAAAATAATCAAACTTCTCTGATATACTTTGATTTTATTTTGTTAAAATTCTAAATTAAACGCTTCATTTATTTATTTTATTATTAGGCATACTAATGAAGACTTATCGGCTTCGAGTATTCTTCCAGTTGTCATAGATGCTCTTAAGAAAGGACTTGGTGACAAAAATCTGACAGTTCGAAAAGTGTGGCCAATTTCATGTTATCTATGTTATTATATTATAATTTATAATTGAGCGCCTAATTTTGGTTGTGGATGCATTTTTTTATTTAGCAGTTTCTGGTAATTTAATTGTATCAGAAATAATCATTAATATATTAATAGATTAATATATAATATATATATATATATATATATATTATATGTTTTATATGTTATTATATGTTTTATTAAAATTACCGCAATATTTCAGTTTGCCATTCGTGGTTTTGGTGATTTGTCGGAATGCAGTCCGAATGTGCTTGAAAAATATTCATCTTGTGCTATGAAAGCTATAATAAATGGTTTGGATTATAGTGGTGATCGGCGTGATGAGGTTTTTTCTTTTTGAATAATCTTTGATTTATGATTTTTTATATCAGTTTGTTTTTCTTTTTTTTCTTATTGTTTCGTTTTTAAAACTTTTGGGATTGCTCAGAATGAGATTTTCCCGAAAAAATAATGGGTTATTTTACTCGACAGATGTAATTTCAATGGAATTCGTTAAATATTGTGATTTAGCCAAATATTTTAAATAATTCCTTATATTAAATTCAAAGGTTGCTACGGAAGCAGTAAAGGCACTGAATAAACTTTCCAGTTGTGTCGAAACAAATCGTTTACAAGGAATACTTTCTAATGTGCTTTTGAAATTGCGACCATGTTTTGAGAAGGTAAATTTATTTGATTCATTTTCACAGTTGAGTTACGTCATATTTAATCATCAAATGGCTTTACTAAATTATTTCAAAATAAATAAGAAGTGATTCAGGAAAATACTGCTCTGCGTATTGCTTCATTCAGTTTATTTGGTGAGCTTGGTATTCGTGTTGGTGACTGTGATATTTTTAAAGAACAATTGATTATAAATAGTGTTTCATTACTATTACACTTGAATGATGATGAAGACGATGTAAAATTGGTATTTTTTTTTGTGTAGCTGAAATATTTAAAATGTTCATGTTTTCTTATATTGTTTGTGTTTTTTTATATAGCATGCAAAAAAATAATTCTGCCAAATATGAGAGATCCATCCAATTTGACCAAATATGCATTTATCTATACTGAAAATGAATGCCTTGAATATCTGTCTTACTTCTGTCGAATTATTTACATTTTAGATTTGTGTTCGTTGTTTAATGCTTGTTGGACCATTGTTTCATTCAACTGGTATTTCATCGGTAATTGAGAAAACATTAAATGCTGAGAAAATTTGTGCTAATTATCCTTTGTTTCTAAAAGAATTCAGTCAAGTTTTGGTACATAATTTAATATTATTAAAAAAATATTTATCGTTATCTATCAATTATTGGATAAAAAATTGTAATTCCTAAAGAATATAAAATTTTTTTAAATTTTCTTTTTCATCCCTTATTGCGATAAATTTTTTTTGTCCTTCTATAGCATTTTTGGTCAGACTTCCTCTACTAGCTTATTGGATGAGGTAAATTTTGCAGGGATGTCGGATGTCGCTTGGTGATAAAAATATAGGTATCGCCAGCACCACCCGAGTAATTCAGCGAGTTGAAGACTTATAAACCATTGTAATTTTTATCGCAAATAATTTTCTTTTCTCGCTGGTTTGCCGTCATTAATTTTTGCAGGCTTCTTCATTTCCGGATCGAGTCAATTATTTCGCTTTAAATCTAAATAATTATTTCAAAAGTACTTCATCAAAAATCCGGTCAAATGCGGCTTGTATGACAGGTTTTTTGTTAGGCTGTTTATCGCCTGAGTTACAAACTACTATTTCAAAAGAGCTTATTTTTTCCGGTAATTTTTAAATTGTTTAATTCTTTTACGTTTTTTTTTTTCCATTTCTGAGATTTTCATGATGATTGCAATAAAATTACATAATTTATTAATTTAGCAATGTTTCCTTTGAATATCATTGGAAGAAATTTGTTTTTTAAATTTCTTGAAAAAAGATTGATGTCAACTTTTGAAGAGTTAAAGTAAAGGAGAATTTTCAGGATTGATGTCACTCTTGAAGGACCAAAGTATTGATGTGCGTTTATCGACGGCACGAGCGATTTCTTTCCTTCAAAATTTCGCCTAAATTTTTTATTTTTTATGAAATTATTTTGTATTGCTTTTGTTCGCGAATCATGATGCGTTTTTACGATGTGAATTTAACAAATTTCATATTGTTGCTTATTTTTATTAAAAACTGCTTTAAATTTGTGTCGGGTTAATTTGGCTTTTTCTTTCGTGAAATTTTAAAAAATTCGGACGCGTTTACTATATTCGTAATAATATATTTTTCTTTTAGGTATTAAAAAAAACAAAGAAAACAAAAATGAAAAATGATTTAAATTTCACTTCTGTACAGAAAAGGGGAATTTTTATAGCAGTACGGAATTTTCATTGGGAGCAGGGCGATTCCCTTTCAACGAAATAAGTTCTATCTTCACAACAATTTCTTTTGGCTCCACTATACTTTTTCTCTATATATTTAACTTTCCTGCCACGTGGCACTTTTTTTTAATCAGTATTATAAAAACTCTGCGGCCAGTGTTCCACTTCTTGTTTTTCTCGTTGGGAACCTCAAACTTGGGCAATTAAGTCTTTATTAGTAAAGACGCAAATATATACAAGAAATATAAAGCGAAGTAATTTCTCTACTACAACGAAATAATATAGTAAAAAAAATCAAATATAAAAACTAAATGCCTATCACTCACCCACCGCTCCACCACTCGTTTCCCCTATTAAAACACAAAAATGACCAAAATTGATCTTTTGGGAGCTTATATTTAATTTAAGATGGGCGGGAATCCGGTTGATTTGATCAAATTTATAGCTTTTTTCGCCTTTTGGCGACAACTTTAATTTTCCTCTTTGTCGAAAATTCATATTTTTGTTAAATGTATTACCATTTCTTATTCACTTATCTCAAGTATTTTTTTTGAAGCTTAGATTCGATTGGGAATTGCTTTGTAGACGATTGATTTTGGAGTAGAATAATTTGGTTTACCTATTATTAAATGAGAAAAGCCATATGGCAATGAAAAGTCAGAGAAATTCGGATGGAAGAGTCGGAATAATTTGCGGAGAATTCAGTGACTCAGTGATTCGTGACAATATGGGCGAAGAACATGGCTAGTCTACAACAACACCTGCTGCTTCACGCTCGCCCCACGTTAACATCAAGCTGAGACAACGGTACCTGCGAGGAAAAGTTCGGCGGCTCCGCGTGAAAATAGGCTATTTAAAAAGTTTATAAATAGAGTTCGAGATAGAAATCGAAAAACGCTTCGCATCGAATTGTTTCGAGGAATCAAAGGGGCGTAGCAAGTAAAGGCATTCAAATGTCAAATAAATTTTAGGATAATACTGCCCTATCAAGTTTTTTGGTGGAGGTGAGTGTGTTGGAACTTCGAGCGTTCTTTTACTCAGTTAGTCATTACAATTGAATTTCTAGTAGTTTGCGTCGTTGTTTCCCATTTAATTTGTTTTATTTATTTCTGTTTGCTTTTAATTTTTTAAGACTGTTAAATAATTATTTCAGTTTTTTAAGACTGTTAAATAATTATTTAACGAATTAGAATATTTTTTAAATTAATTTTTATTCATTCATTCGATTGAAAATGGAAGGTTTCGAGCGAGTGAAAAGTCTTTTTCGTCTAAATTATGAATTTTTTCGGAACAATATGAGTGGAAAACGGAAGAGAAGGAAATCGAAATGTAAAAATTTTGATCATAAAAAGCAGAAAAATAAGCCGTTTGACGAAAAAATGGAAAGCAGTGTAAATTGCGAAGCTCGGGAGGTTGGCGAGTGCGATTCAGGATGTTCGCCACACGAATATTCATTCAATGGTTTTGTTGTAATTCCCGAGCGTCAGAAATTTTTCGATCAAATAAAAATTGGTCTTCATGAACGTCAGTTTGTCTTTGTCCAGGTGTTTTCTTAAATTTTCAGTTCATTCGTCACTTTTTTAATTTTATTAATTTAATATTCATTGTTGATTTATTATTTACTAATTTCTTTAATTCCGATGTTTAAATTCTACAATAAAATTCGAATAAAGTTCAGTAATTGTGCAGAAAATTGAAGGATAATTTAAGGGTGCGATGGGTTGTGGCAAAACTTCATCGATTCGTTTAATAGCTGATGATCTTAATATGCAAGTATACATTATTCAAATGAGCGATCAGATCGATTCGAAAAGCCTATTTGGTTCATTTCATTGTCTCGATGTTCCCGGCGATATTCTATGGAAAGCGAGCAATTTCACGAACGTTTGTATTTATTTATTCTATTAGGTTTTTAAAAAATTTTGCTTTCGATTTTAAAATTTTTTTGGTTTTCTCCATAATTTAATTTTTTAGGCGATTCGCAAAAGAGGTATAATATTAATAAAAGATATAGACTGTGCTTCAGCTGATTTAATATCAACGTTAATTGATTTTTGCGAAAATCGAAAGCAGTTTTTAACGACGGGTGAAATAATACATATGCATGATGAAGCGTTTATTGTTGCAACAATGAGGTTCATTTCTTCATGAGAACGAAGTAATAGAGGGAAGACATGGAAAAGGTTTTAAAAAATAGAATAAGCGAACGGTGCTTTGGTGTTAAAAATCGGAAGTAATTGAAAACATTAAGGGAGGATTCTTTTTTAATATCCTGTTTTATGATAATTTAGTCGATTTTTATGAATGAATTTGAAATTAAGAAAAATTTTAGATTGCCGAAAGAAGATCCTGCAATCATTTCTGTGGATAATGAAGCTTTAATCTCTTCATTGTCTTTTCGTGTTGTATTACCTGCTTACACGGATTTTGAATTAATAAAGATTATTAAAGTTAAGTATCGACGTATTGCCAATTATGCTCAAAAAATCGTTGAAATTTTTAATGAAGTAGCAAATGCGAAGATCATCACTAACCGAAGAGTTTCAAGAAAGCTCACTATAAAGTTAATTTTTTCTTTTTTACATTTTTCTTTTGATTAATTATAAAATTGATTCTCTTCTTTCTTTCTTAAGATTTTTTTAAATCCATTTGTATCAACTCGAATTATAATATTTATTCTTTATTTAATTCTTTGTGGTATATTGCTCGGTCTGAGGGTGAATAATTCCTTCGTTCTTGAAAGCAGTAAATATTAGTGGAATCCGGTGGTTTTTTCTAAGAGCTTTTATCACATCTGGTTAGATTCACTTCGATGGTTTTTCTGATACAAATTTTCCGAGTTAGAAATATAGATGAGTATCTGACACTACCCGGATTTTTGAAGGGTTTGCTGGAATCAGAACCCCAAGTTTCGTACCATGAAATGAGAATAACGACTGAATCATTCTGTTCTGCTAATAAGTTATATTGGAAATGTTTTTTCAGTGGTTTGTTCGTTCATTAATATTTCAGTGATCTTATGCGCGCTTGCAACCGTTTGAACAATCTCGAGTCAATGTTAGATAATATTTCTTTACTTTCCGAACTTCTGGATGCATGGGTAGTACATTGCTTAAAACGAGGAGAAGGGATCGCGATAGGGCAAATTATATGCAAACATTTATCAGTGAATTATGATATGGTTAATTTCTTGTTCAATGTGCGGCAACCAGACATTACTTTTGGCTTAGGAGAAATGGTATGTGGAAGGACGACAATTCCAATTTTTCAGAACTTTACGATAAAAAAGTATGTAAATTGTAGTTAATTATTTTTATTCTTATTAAGCCGGATTTATTTATAACTAACTAATAATTACAGATTTTAATGAGTCATATTCGAGAAATTTCTAGAAATTAGGAATATTTAATAGAACAGCCTTATAAAAATTATTAATAAAAAATCATTTAGCAAGAATGCTCATAAGCAGTAATGGTTAGTTTTTTTTTCTAAGGAGATGTTTTTATAAAGATTATTGCAGGCGTCAAATATCGTTTGGTAAAACGCGTGAGGCTTGTCAACTTATTGAACGTGTCGCTGTATGCATTAAACACAATGAAGCTGTTTTACTGGTTGGTGAAACGGGTGTTGGTAAAACATCAGCAATACAAGCGATTGCCTCTCATCTTAATGCAAATCTTCGAGTAATTAATCTTAGTCAGCAATCAGAATCAAGCGATCTTATCGGAGGGTTTATTTTCTTTTGTGCTATATATCTTATACACATTAGATTACGAAATTAAATTCTGAATATTTATGTAAATTTATATTTTTTTAAAAATTCATTTTACAGATACAAACCGGTGTCATTACTACTAGTTCTTCAACGATTACGTGAATGTTTTGATGATTTGTTTAGGAAATCTTTCAACTGCAAGAAAAATGGCAAATTTTATGAGCATATCGATGTAAGCTTAAATAAATATCAAGAAAAGTGAATTGTGAATCTTTTGGACGATTTTTATCAGTATTTGATATATTTGAATTTTTTTTTAGAAATGTTTGTCATCGAATCGTTATGAAGATTACGTTTCGCTTATTTTGGGTACGGCTAACAAAGCTATTGCAAAATTTCATAAGGTTGATCCAAATGTAGAAAAAAAATGGGCAGATATATTCGTTCGTGCATCGCGATTTCAGAAATCATTGAAAAATAGTGCACTGCCATTCGCTTATATTTGCGGCATTATTACTGAGGTATTTTAGTTTTCCTTCTTTTCTCTTTAAAAATATAAAAAATAACTGCACTGATTAAAATTTCTTCTAAGGCTGCAAAAAATGGTGATTGGCTTTTAATCGATGAAATAAATTTGGCACCAGTCGAATGTTTGGATGCAATTGTCCATGTCTTAGATGATGCAGATAAACGTCATCCTAACTTTCGTCTTTTTGCTTGCATGAATCCAGCTACTGATGTTATGAAGAAAAATCTACCAATCGGAATCAGGTTCCTTCTTTAGCTTTTGGAGAATCTAATGCTTTTTATTATTATAGGAATACATTTATCTGTATTTTATTTGTTATTTGAGTGTTTTCTACGTTTGAGTTTTTTTTTATTTTTGTCTTTCCGACAGCTTATTCATAGTTAGATCTTATTTAGATCTCGTTTTACTGAAATATTTGTGGCAGAGACAATTGATATCGAACAGCTAATGATAATTGCCAGTACCTATTTACCTTCGCTAAATATCAAACATCTTCTCTCTGTACTTCAAGTTCATATTGATTTGCGTGCCAAATTCCCTGGCATTTACAGGTTATTGCTTAAATGTTGTATCCATTTTGATCCAGTTTTATATAATTTTATATAATCCAATTTTTTATATAATTAATTCAAATTTATAGTTTACGAACACTTTGTCGTGCTCTTATGTTTGCATCTGATAATATTTTTGGGAACGATGAGCGAAATGTATTCGAAGCAGTAGCAATGTCATACATGACAAATCACAGTGTAGAAAATCAAAATAAAGTTGAGGCTATTATCAAAAGTTATTTGAAAGCTCCTGAACAAAAATTAAAAGCTGCATGGTTACAGTCGGATTTTATGTAAGTTTCGCCATTTCAGATACTTAGAATATCATAACTTTTAAATTTTTTAATACTATAGACAGGTGCAAGGTTATAACATCAGAATTGGTACTGAAAAGCCTCTGAAAGATGATGATTTTATAATTACGCCATCCGTTTCGAAAAATTTGGCATTGCTTGCTCGTATCGTATGTAGTGGTAGATTTCCAGTTCTTCTAGAGGGAGAAACATCTACAGGAAAAACATCGATGGTAACACTTGAAATTTTTCTTTATTTTATTCTCATTTATTTTTTTGAGTCTTATTTCACGTTCTAACAATAAAACAGATTGATGACTATATATATATATATTTTTTTTTAGATTATTCATTTATCAAAAATTACGGGTAATGTGGTTTTTCGGATAAATAATCATGAGCACACTGATCTTCAAGAATATATTGGCTCTTACGTTCCTGATGAAAATGGCCGTCTAGTTTTTGTAGAAGGAGCCTTATTAAAAGCAATGCAAGCTGGACATTGGGTCATTTTGGATGAATTAAATCTTGCTCCTGGTGATGTTACTGAAGCATTAAATAGGGTTTGTATTGATTATTCATAATTGTTGAGTGAGCCGAATAATCAGTTTTTTGGATTATTTCAAGTAATGTTGTATATCTTTTGCAATATTTCGGTAATCATACTGCTGCTCGGTCCGACGTCATTCTTTTTTCCATCGTTAAATCGCGCTGGTCTTCCTTTTTCATAATTCGTTCAAAATGTTTTCTGCCTGTTTCACTCCAGGTCTTGATTGGCTCTCCTCGCTTTTGATGCCAATTATCACAGAGTTAGGCAAATAGCGAAATATGCGTCAATTCCTCTGCTGGATGACGGAGAATATGCCCTAACCAGCGAAGGCGGTGCTCTGTGATAACACTATTAATACAGATGATATTTGAGCGAAGATGAATACAATCTGTGCGATTTTACGCTTTTCAATATCTTCCACTCTCATTGGTCATGTTTCACAGCCATATAGCGAATGAGCGAATTGCAGCTATATAGGCACAGTTTTTCGTCTTTATGGTGATTTTGAGACGGTTCCATAGAGATTGCATCAATCGGAAAAACATTCTTAGCTGCCGTTATCCGGGTTACGATTTTATCCTTTACTTGGCCATTTGGGATTAGAGTCCAATTAGCATCCAAGATATTTAAGGTCGGGCACTTCCTCAATTGATAAAAATAACTGTTTTTTCAGCATCTTGTATAAGATGAAAACACTTCCGTTTTATTTACATTGATTTTAGTCCAATTCTCCCTCCAATTCTTGTTGACATATTGTTTAACATTATTTACATTCCATTATAGCTCAGTAAAAAGGACTATATCAGCATATTCAAGTCTAAAATGTTATGCTGTGGTCTGATTTACACACTTCTTGATGCCAATGCTCATTATCCAGTCTATCACATAGTTGAATATTGTAGGGAAAAGGATATCCTCACGGACACCATTTCTAATTTCGGAGGGATCTATCAGTTCCCCATATACACAGATCTGTGCCAAGGTCTTCTGATAAAATACCTTTATGAACCGAATGCTCTTCTGGCATACTGTCACATATCATCACTTTCCAGAGCACTGCTCTATCGAGCGAATCGAAGGCAGCTCCAAAATCGATAAAGCACATGACGGTGGATTGCTGAAATTTAAACAATGTTCCACCACCATTCTTAGCGTAAATATCTGGCGAGCACAACCACAGCCACTTCCCGGTCTGAATACAACTTGATTAAGAAGCATTCTGCTAAGAATGATGATAGACTGAATAATAGTAATGATAATAATAATAATTAATAATAATAATATAATAATAATAAATAATAATAATAAATAATAATAATAAATAATAATAATAAATAATAATAAATAATAATAATAAATAATTATAATAAATAATAATAATAAATAATAATAAATAATAATAAATAATAATAATAAATAATAATAATAAATAATAATAAATGATAATGGTAATATTTACCGCTATCTCGTATTGCCATGAGTCTATTCAGTAAAAGGGAAGTGAAATTTGGAGATATCTAGGAGGCTGATTCCTCGATAATTGTCGTAGTATGTTCTATCACCTTTCTTGAGAATTGGGGGCAGAATTGCTTTGCTCCAATCATCTGATAATATTTCTTTTTCCCATACCAGAGAATACATTTGTTAAAGGTGATTGATGATGGATAACATTTGAAGAGTTCGGCCCGAAGACCATCTTCTCTGGGAGTTTTATTGGCCTTAAGCTTATGAATTATAGAGATTATGTCCTCTTCTGTTGGCGATTCGCGGTTGTAAACGTATTGCTCGGTAGATGAATCAGTTATATTCGAGAGAACAGATGGTACATCGTGGCTTAATTTGGTTTTGGCCTCAAAAAATTCTTTTCATTTTCTGTGGCGATCCTTAATTACCTTAACAGGCGCCTCATTAACGTATCATTTCACTTTTCCTTCTTTCTTCTTGTCGATTTATAGTTGCTTTGTGAAGAAGGCGAAACACTTTCCTATTATCCGAGCCGCCGTCTCCATTTTCTATCCTGTCGTGCTACCCTTGTAATTCTTCGAAGCATCCAATAGTTAGGATCTTTTGACATTCGGGCGTTGGCAGACAATTGAACAATTGGACAGTGGCTTCCTATTAATATACCTTAGTATGGAAGTTGGTGATTTTTTTAAGCATGTCGTTTGTTGAGGCCACTATTCATTCGCCGTTCCAGAGATATTGACATTCATTTCAATGTTTTTTAATATGGTTTGAAATACGCTTATTGTTTCCCGACCTTTTAATTTAAGGTGGTTGAAAAATATTGGGATGCTTTATTTCTTATCAGTTGTATCTTGGCTCGAATCATAACATGGTCTGATCCATAGTGATTACCAGTTTCAGCGCCCCAATGAGAACGACTGTCAAGTACAGAACTCTTCCAGCAGTGACCAACATATGGTCAATCTGATTGGAATATTGATTTTCCGGAGAGTTCCACGTAACTAAATGTTTCCTCCGATGCCGAAAGCATGTATTGGTAACAAGAGGTTCATGCTGTCAGCGAAACGAAAAGGGTGTTTTCTATTGGCACACCCCGATGCCATATTTGCCAGTTACTGAATTCGTAACAGCCTATCCGCGTCTTCCAGTTTTCTCTGATTATAACCATATGTTTCATTAGAGTTGTTATTGAAGCTCCATAGAACTTATTCTTATCGCGGTCATTTGCGTATAAATGATATAGCTAATATTTTTGCTAGAAATCAAGTTTAATAATTACTCGAGAGTCGACTGAGGAAAACGGACCTCCGACAAAGAAGCCACATCTACGAGGTCGCTTGGTTTGCAACACCCATAAGTGACGTTCTAAGTAGCTACAGCCAGTACCTCACCGTGGTTGCAAAGTGCGGATAGGTTAGCGGTTAGGTTCTCGCCTCCTTTGGTGTGTCTTGAGTAGTATCTCGGTTCGCGAGCAAATCCTATGCTTATGCCTTGGAATTTTATCATTATTATTATTGTTATTATGCCCGGATCATATATTTATCGTTTGTACCACCGGGTATAACATAATAACATGCCAGAAATAACATGCGCTTCAGAAGACGCGGACGTTGCATCGAAGATACTTGACCCTTTCACTGAAGAGTCACTTGGGAATAGAGATACTGGTGATTCCTCAGCAGCCACCCGAGTTTTTCACATTATGACAGGTTTACTGCTGTCAAAGGCAAAGAATAAAGATAATTAAATTTAAAATAAGAGAAATTTAAAGATAATTTAAGAAAAATTTAAACTTTTTAGTTTTTTTGTTTTATTAAAATTTAAATTTTAATATTAAAGTTTGTTTAGCTTTTGGACGATAACCGAGAGTTATACGTACCAGAATTAAATAAAACAATCAAAGCACATCGTAATTTCCGATTATTTGCGACGCAAAATCCATTTGCTAACTACGCAGGTCGAAAACGTCTGTCACGGGCGCTTTTGAATCGTTTTGTTATCCTTAAATTCAGTCGTCTACCTACAGATGAACTATATTCTATGGTGCATTTAAAGTAAAATCTGTTTTACCCATTCTTATTACAGTTTTTTTTAAAAAAAGGAGAAAAATGATGTTTTCATAAATTAAATTCTAAATTTTAGCGAATTTATAGATGCCAAATTTCTGAATCGGCTGCAAGATTAATAATATCGGTTTTGAAAGATTTACGTGCCAGACGTAGCTACACAGGTATGTTTTCGATGCACGACGGTTTTATGACACTCCGTGATGTATTTAAGTGGGCAAATCGCTTTGCCAGATCGGATCAGATAGATTGGAGGCAATGTTTGGCTGATCACGGTATTTATTTCAAATCTGTTTAATTAAAAATTAATGCTTTTAATACTTTTTTGATTAAAAAATACTTTTGTTCAAGCTTTTTATTTAATTTAATAAAAACTATTGTTGTATTATTTATTAATTATAACCATTTAATTTATAATTTTAATAAATTTTCATTTTTTTCTCAATATTTTTCAAACTTTGCACATTGGTTTAAGTATCATTTTATCGATTTTTTGTTCAATTATTTCATTTATTCATCTAAATTCCCATATTCACAGGATTTATGGTGTTATGTGCTAGATGTCGAACAACAGCTGATGAAAATTTGATAAAGCACACCATAGAGCATTATACTAGTCGAAAAATTATACCTAATCAATTGTTTGCGATCAATTCGCGCTATATGCCTTGCATAACAGAATTTTTCGAAAAAAACGTGGTGCCTACTTTTAACATGCGTCGTATGATTGTCTTATGTTCACAAGCTTGGATTCATAATGAACCTGTTCTGTTGGTTGGCGAAACTGGTTGTGGCAAAACAACAGTGGCTCAGCTACTAGCGAAGGTAAATCAATATTTATATTAACTCATGTTGCATTTTTTCAAGTAAATCGCGATATAAATTTTTATTTGTTTTTGTTCAAATTTCAAAAGTTTATTCATATTCATATTAAAGAATTATATATTCAGGACAGTTTGTTGTCCTTGAATTGTCAAGAAAGAACAGATACTTGTGACTTACTTGGTTCAATTCGACCAGGGGAGAATGGAACTTTCAAATGGTTTGATGGTGTTGTAGTAACCGCAATGCGATCTGGGCGTCCAGTACTTTTGGATGAAATCTCTTTAGCCTCTGATTCGGTTATTTATAAGACTTTTAATTTTGTTGTCTTAATAAATCTTATAGTACTTATTCTATTTTATAGGATGAATATTTTTACTTTTCCATTAATTACTGCTTGTAAAATTAGTTTGTCTTTATTGTAATTTTATCTCATAACTCATAAATCTTTTGATTATAGGTACTAGAGCGTCTTAATCCGTTACTTGAACCTTCGCGATCACTTTTTTTAACAGAATCGGGCACAGAAGTCGAGAAGATTGTTGCAGAGCCTGGTTTTCAAATTATTTCAACAATGAATCCGGGAGGTGATTATGGTAAAAAAGAAGTAAGTTTAAAATGCTACCAGAAATCCTAATATGCTATGAGAATTTTTCAGTTGTCCAAAGCTTTGCGAAATCGTTTCACAGAGATCTGGTGTCCAGCTGTCTTCACCGCTGAAGACGTGAAATCTATTATTTGCCATCGTCTCAGTAGGTCATCACTGTTTAATGATGATGATGGCTTTAAATTTAAACTTTCATCATGTATGGCTCGGTTTTTGGCTTGGTATTTTGATCATATTTCGAAGATTGCTCGGTAATATATATTTTCGCTTTTAGTGTAGAAAAAATAAGTTGTATATAATTTATTTATTATATTTTTCAATCTTGTTTTATCCTTTTGCAAAACATTTATATTACGGTTTAAGATTATGAAAGCAAAAAAGCAACAGTATTTATTTGCAATATTTGTAATCATTTCTTTAAGTTGTGGTATTTCTCTCCGTGATGTAGTTGCTTTCGTTGAGATTTTTATTTCTTCCATGAAAAGAGACGTTAGATCAATCTATTGGTCAGTTTATGAAGCATTTGTGGCAATTGATGATGGAATATCATTGAATATTAGTGATCATCATCATTCCTTTGAAAAACATCGATTTGAGTGTCAAGAAAAAGTATGTTTAAAAGAAATTAAATTATACTGATTGCAATAAAACTTTCTGGTTTTTTTTTCAGACTTAACATTTGATTTTCTTTCGAATTATGTATCTGTTTCAAACTATATTTTAGTTGAAGTTTATTTTGATGGACAATTTGTATAAAGAAATCACAGAAGAAATCGAAAGTCCAATTTTCAATTCCTTGATTAAAACTGATGATCGAGGGCTAATTATTGGTGGTTATTTGATCGAATTTGGCGCAAAAAAACCAGTACATCTTAAGAATTTCGTCTTTAATACTGATTGGTTTGAAAAAATGTCTTTGAAGTAAGAAAATTTTTACTTTATGTATCAGTTTTTTCCGTTCATGTTTTTTGGATTGAATTAACATTTAAATAATTTGCATTTTATATTTTTTAGCATAGCTCGTGCTTTGTCTATTGATAAACCGATTCTCATACAAGGTGAACCAGGTTGTGGGAAATCTAGTATAGTGGTCGCATTAGCTGCTGCAACAGGTCATCATTTGACCAGGCTTAATTTATCCGAACAAACAGTAAGTTATTGATTTCTCTATACATTTATGCAACAAATTCTGACTCATATTTGTAATTTGTAATAAAATTTTTAAAAATTTAAGTTTGTCAAAATTTGCTGGGATCAGTTATTAAAAATAATGATATGAAAAAAGATATTATTAAAATAATTTTAAGTACTGTGCTTATAAATCTACAGGAATTGAGTGATTTATTCGGAACGGACGTACCAACTGTACTGCAGGATGGACGGACATCATTCGAATGGAAAGATGGACCATTATTAACAGCTATAAATAATGGGCATTGGATTTTACTCGATGAGGTTCTTTTTTACTATTCTAATAATTAAAAATAAACAAAGGAAGAAAAGGAAGAAGGAAGCATTTGTTTGTCGTTCTTGTTGTAATATATTTTTTCAGATGAATTTGGCATCACAAAGCATATTGGAAGGCCTTAACGCCTGTTTTGACCATCGGCATCAGTTATTTATTCCTGAACTGAATCGAATGTTTGAGATTGGTTCTAGTTCGCATAACTCGAAATTTTTCGCTTGCCAAAATCCGCATAATTTAGGGGGAAACCGTAGAGCTCTTCCGAAATCATTTTTAAATAGATTCTCTGTGGTTAGTGTATCCTTTCAAAGTTTATAATTTTATGTTTGTTTCCAAAGCCTTTTCAATTGATGACGAAGCCACTACTTCTTTTAATCATTAGGGTGATAGATTTTCCCTTAAATTGATTTCATCCCATGAAATTTGTTCGTATTAATTATGTATATTATATTATCTGCTTTTTATTACTCTTTTATTCTAGATTAATACTCCACCAGTTAATGATTATCATGATTATCTGTCGATTTCTTCACAAATATACGGTATTCAAAGTGATATGAATCAAATTTTAAATAAAGTTAATCGATCAGTGAAAAGTAAAATGCTAAAAGATAAAACCTTTGCAAAAATTGGTGGACCATATGAATTCAATATCCGCGATGTACTTAGATGGTCATCTTTTATTTCCGAAGTATGTTTTTTGAGTGGTTTTTTATTTTTCCTATAAATATTTTTCATAAAATTGGTATCTTGTTATGATTAGATTTTTCAATATATCAAATGAAATAAATACATTATCGACATTTCATTTTTAGTATTTCAAATTGTTCTTTATTTTTTATTCTTTGATTTCTTAGCTTTACTTTGTTTTCTTTGCTTTCATAAAAACTCAGAAATTTTTTTTCGTTATTACTGAAGAACTTATTGTTGTTTCTTGCTTCATTTCGTTCACTTAAGATTTTTGTTTTTTGTTGCTTTTTATTGTAATTAAATTTACATTTTAGTTTGGCATTTCAAATTATCCATATGAATTGCTTTATGTGCAGCGTTTTCGCACAGAAGAAGATCGTGAAGTGGTAAGTACTTTATTAATCCAGCAATTTATTGTGATTTTTTTTATGTGAGATTCTATTACCTATTTAAGTGAAAAATATTCGAAGAAAAATCAATAGAATTTTAAAAAATTTATCAACTTTTTGAACAGTTAAAGCTTGATTGCGACTGAGATTAATTAACTTATAGATGCGTGAGATATATAAAAAGGAATCTGGTGAATCATGCAAGACTTTGTCATTGTCAGTATCGGTGTCTGATAAATTTGTACGAATTGGGAGAATAGAACTTATTCGTTCATTTAAAAGGATATTTGAAGATAATTTGTTCGTTTTTGAAGAATATTTAGTCATTTTTATTCTCATTTTCTTTTATTTTCATTTTCTTTTATTTTCAACTTTCAATGAATTTATTATTCAGTTTTAATCTTCATGCGTTGTTAATTTTTAGAAAATTATTGCCTTCACAAGCTTCAATTTTGGAACATCTTGCTACTTGTGTGCGTATGAACTGGATTTCTTTGATTGTTGGTGAATCCAAAATTGGAAAATCTTCTGTGGTTAAGAATCTAGCTGCGTTAACTGGAAATGAGTTGAAGATAATGAGACTTACATCAGAAACTGATGCTTCGGAACTAATCGGGTCGTTTGAACAGGTGAACTATTTATAAACTATTAACTATTATAAACTATTAAACTATTGACTATTTCTAAATAAACTATTTCTTCTGGCCTATGTTTAGCAAAATTTTTTTATTAAACTTTCATCAGCTCCTTGTTTTAGATTGTCGATTATATCGGTTTTACAAAAATTAAAAACGATAGTTTGAAAATTCTGTCTGAAAATGCTTTTCTTGCATCCGACATACAAGCGTGTGAAGATGTGCCAAGTTTACGAATGGTATTACAGAGTGCCATACATTTGTTTAATAAAAGTGTATTTTTATTTTTTTATTTACTATTTTTATTTATTCAGTATGGTTTATCTTATTTATCGAAATATTTAGAAAAGGTTAATTATTGGTTTTTTTGATTGATTTAATTGAGTTGGATTGAAATCGATCAAGTTATCGAAAAAATAAATCAAAACTTTGCTGGCTTTTTCCGTTAGAAATTATAATAGCCTAATGGCAGGATTATTGCCATCGAGTTCGGTTCCGATTGACTCATTTGCTCCAATTGGTGAAAGCAGAAGAGAGTAGAATGACTTAATGAGTCGCCTAGTTCTGAACTGATGCTGTGATTTTGTGTTCGGTAGGCGTAAATATATCCTTCAAATATTAGGCTAGCGATAGATACACTAGCGATACACTTCTATCGTTAAATGATTCTCTGGCAAAATTCATCTGATCTGATAAGCGAACGAAACTAGCCTGACCATCAGTAGTGAGCGCTGTCAGAAAAAAATTGAAGAAAAGAAGCCTATCAAAATGAAATGTTTTAATAACATATGATTTCCTCATTTTGTTTTTATTTTTTTTATTAATTTTAAAACAGATTTCGCTGATCAGCTAAATCGTTACATATATGAATTGGACCATAAGACAATGCATTTCCAGTGGATTGATAGTCCATTCTTGGACGCCTATAAGAATGGTTTTTGGGTTTTATTTCGTAATGTCAATATGTGTAGGTTGGCACCTTTTTTACTAAAAAATTTTTTGGAATGATTATTTTCACATTCACTGAAAGTATTATAGTGCAGCAGTCTTAGATCGTTTAAATGCTTGTTTGGAATCGGATGGAGAACTTTTAATTACAGAAAATGGTGGTGCCAATAATGAACCGATAAAAGCGCATCCAAATTTTAGGTTTTTATTTTGTTTCATTTATTGAAAAATTATCTAATAGTTAATATTTAATAGTTTTCGAAGGAAAAGCGATTTTCATTCTTTTTTTAGAACATTCTTTGTCGTATTGACAGATTACTACCACAAGTACTATTCAAAAGCACTTAAAATAATTGTTTCCTTTCCATTTTTCATTTCCTTTAATCAAAATTACATAATATAAATTATCAAAGTTTGCTTTTTTTTGCTTTCAAGGAGTAATTTAGAATATTTTTTACTATGAACGATCGCTATGGTCCCATTTCACGTTCCATGCGTAACCGTGTCGTCGAAATTTATATGCTTCCGGAAAAGAATGCTTGGTACAAACAATTAGGTGATCTAACTGTAAGTATTATTATGGCTTTAGAATAAGATTGAATATTTTATTCATATACATATAGATGTTATGTAGTTTTATAATTTATATTTTTATTTTCACTGAAAAGTTTTTTCCAGAATGTTGTATTTCCACCTAAATTTTATAATGATGGGATCTGCAATCTTCCATCGACTTTGCGTTTCAATGAAGAATCTGGTCCTAATGATTTTTTGAAACTCAAGATTTTATTGGATCACATGGATGTCGTTGATGCATTTGAGGTCTTTATTTAACAAATATTTTTAATCTGTCAAATAGAAATTATATATTTTTGAAATAAATGTAATTTGCCTTTAATTGGCCTCATTTTTTTTCAGTTTACGAACACTTGCACTCTTGATGTGGAATTCAGTGAAGCTGTGGAAATAGTTGAATATCCTACTTTATCTGTTTGCTATTCGCTTGATCAATGGAAGATGAAAATTTGGAAGTATATAAATAATAGCGATTTAGCAATGAGTCTAATTTGGGCTTTTATGTCCTCATCATTCAGATGTATCAAGAACAAGGATTTCGTCGAAATCTTTTGCGGTGATCAACTTTCTAAAGGTAAAAGCAATATGTTGCATTCGCTAATCGTACTTAATTTGTTAATAAATTTTTTTCTATTTAGAATTAAATTGTTTTGCATTTTTTAGTACAAAAATTATTTTAAAGTTATTTATTTTAAGATATGAGATTGCTTAAAAAGCTTATCGCGCTTTCTAATCATGATTTCTTTAACGATTCGTCTTTGCCTTATGATGAACGCTTTGATGGTATTTTTTTGGTGGATCATAAATCACCTGAAGAATATGATTTAATTAACAAGTACGTCTTTCTTCTTTTCTTTCTTTTCTTGATTTTCTTTCAGTAAATACCAGTCTATGAAATTCTCTTCAAAACATGAATTTTTATAATGGAAAAGTCTTAAAAGAGAAAAATCTTTTTTGTAAATAATCAATTTTATAGGTTTGCTGTGAATGCTTTGGCAGCGTGGACGAATCATACCATTGGCATTATCGAATCAAATAGTAATTCACTGAAAAACTGTGAGTTAATTTAATTGATTGAATATTTCATTAAATATTCTAATTAAATGGAGGATTTTGAATGCTGATAAGACAGATGAGACTAATAGAATATGGTTTTCAGTAATAATGCAGTGATCATGAAGGAATATTATGAGTCATGTTTTTTTCGCATAATAATGTATTATAAATTAAATGTTATCAGTCTTATTAAAGGAATTTAACGATAATTTAACTTTTTCAAATTTTCTTAAAATTTTCTTAGATTTTATGAAAAGGAAGTCGTTCTATGAAAAAAGAAAAAATTCATGTATTGATTTGAATACTGTTAATGATGAAATTAAATCATTTTTATCCTGTAAAATCGATGAATTAAATTTTAACCCAGTCATGGTATTTTTTTTTGACTTAATTTCGTAATTGATTGAACTTAAATTTATAGAGATCAAATTAAAAAGATTTTTAATTAAAAATTAAAATTAAAAGCATATGATAATGAAAAACCAAATTAATTTAAGGTTCTTTATTCTATATTCCAGTATAAGATATAAAAGGAGAACTTTTGGTGAATAATTTTTGTTCCTTCAATAAAAATTATTAAACGTTACTGTGATCTTATGGATTGGCTTGTATGTTCTTATATGCATTTTCCAGATATTCAAAGTTTTCTGGAGCATTATCTTATTTGTTGATTTTTCAATGCATGCTAGTCAAGATCACGATGATGAGCATCTTCTTTCATGCATAGCTATGCATAATTTAAAGTATGATTTGGAGGAAATAAAAAGGTAATTGAGTAATTGGTAATTGAGTATATAAAGGTATTCTTTTTATTCTGGACAAAATTTCGTTAATTTAAGCTGAACCAATGTAAAATTATATCTAATCGATCTTAATCGATCTTAAGTTTAAAATAAAATAAAATAATTTCTATTATATGTCGTTCTCTATATAATTTTGATAATTATGTTCTCGAATTAAAATTTCTGGAAGATTTTGTCTAACATCGTTTTCAGTGACAATAAAATACATAGAAATTTAATAAAAGTTATCGAAAAAATTTATGTTGACGAAAAACTCAGTGAAAATAAGCAATTTGTTGATTTCTATTCAGAAAATATTATGGTAAAGCCTTACCATGACGAAGAACAATTGGTGAAAGTAAATCTTTTTATTTTTTTTCTCTATTTCAGTTAAATTATAAAAATTTCCCGCTTGAGTACTAGTAATTCTGCTATTTTTAATTCTTTCTCTTAATTTATTTGACTGGATGAACTTCTTTGATTCAGTTGCTTTTAACTTAAATACCTCAAACACGTATGAATAATTAGTAAAAGTGCAGGTGGAATGGCTTAGTGGTAGTTGCTCCCATTTCTAGCAGGTTTTAGTTCCCTATAGAAATAAATCTTTTTTTTAAAAATCTGAGTAATTCTAGCGATCTACTTTTATAGCTGAATAGCTTTTTGCCAAAATTTATAAAAATTATTTATGGTTGAGGATGGGAGAGCGATGCGTGATTGCGATGTGTGATTGATCTTAAGTTAAACTGAAATAATTCTTCAACTCACTCATTGCTGGAGATTAGTGGAAATTTTGAGAAAATGCTGGAGATAAATGGATGCCCTTCATTTTAGGCTTCAGTTGCAATGAAAAATTTTTATCATTTGATGGGTTTTTATGATGAACTGAGTCAGGTTGATGCTGCAGAAGAATCTTTTAATTCGTTTCCCAATGATGATGGTGTATTTGGCTTAGCCATACGGAAAATAACTGAACTATATAATGCATATATTTTTATCAATCATATACGTGATGCTAAGGTTATAACATTGATTATTAATAGTTTCATTTGTTTCTGTTTTATTTAATCATTCATCAATTTTTTTAATCCTTTAATTAATTTTTAACATTTTTTATCTTTTTTTTATTTTTAGTTTCATTCTTTCTTTAATTTATTATTGCTAACATGCCAGATGCTAAGTTTTTTGTGTTGAAGAATTTGCTGATCATCACAGTTTTTTAAATATATTCTAATAAATAAATGATAATAATTATTGACTTAATACTGTATACTTAATACTGTCTTTTTTAGGATTTGAATGATATCATGTTGAAAAGTAAAAAATGCTCTGCTAGTTTTTTATATTCATCTTTGTTAAAATGGGAAAATCAAGCTTGGGCATCGACTGCATTGATTCTTGGGTTTCTTTGTGGCGATTTTTTTATAAATGGATTCGATACTGCACGAATAGTTTGCGATTTTTTATTATCTTTCATTATTTATTTGATTTTAAATTATTTTGAAGTATCGAAGAATTAAATTCACTAGTACATGTGAAAATTAACGAAAAAGTTAATTTTCAATACACATTTAATTTCTTTTCAGAATTTTGACCTGATGGTTTTACCTTTCGATATCGAGATTTTCATGCCTATTTTAAAAATTTTGAATTTTGATCTATCTCTCAGTGGCGTTAAGATAAAGGAATTGGATGGTTTTACCGTACAATATAATGTGTTTACGAACTTATTTTGGAAAGTGGAAAAACATGTGAAAGGATTTAGCAATGAAATCAAGTTAATTTAATTTAATTTAATTGCATTCTTTTCATATGTGGAAAATATAGATATGAAATTGATTAAATGAAAAAAAAAGATTGAACAATTTTCAGAGGCATGTTATATATTATTCTGGATCATCTCAGAGAAATGCTTGCAATCGAAAAAGAAGATTCAGAATCATCAAAGCTATCTAATATCGTAGAATTATTACGATTTTATGGCTTACAATTATTGATGAAAGCGACCCCTCCTCTCAAGGCTTTTGATCCTGCAAAATATTTGGAACAGAATCGTCTTTATTTATGTAAAAAGGTTGCCGCTTATTTCCTGTTGTCTTAAATTTTAAAACGTTTTGAGTTTCAATGGTGTGGCTATATGTTGTTCACCTCAGGGGTCAGAGCTGTTATATATTCATTTAATTCATTTAAAACTTTTTAAATTCATTTAAAACTTAATATTTCGGGCATTATCCATATATTAATATTTCAATATTGTTTCAGTTTTTTACCATTTAAATTTTTTTATTTAGCAAGATCTAATTAAAAGTCATTTGTCATTGCTGCAAAATTATCGAATGATTCTATTTGGTAATGACGAAATTTCTTCATTGGCCGATTCGAAACATCCATTAATATTCGCACTGACAGCAGTTCACTCTGAACTTAATGATTCCTTAGAAAGGAGCCAACGATTTGAAGTATTTCGGTCTCCCAGTGCTGAGGTTATTTAATTAAATAATTATATCAAGTTATCTTCTAATTTTAGATCATTGCGAGGCTTAATTTTTTGAATTTTTCAGTATTTTCGCCTCACCAAAGAACTTAATTTTTTTACTGAATCAGTGGTGAATTGGCACAAGAAAAATTATATGCCCGTTTGCAATTTAATGACAGAATTCACTATAGAAGAACTTCTTTTAAAAAAAGCGCTATATGAAGATTTCTTGTTGAATGGTAAAACATTTTGCAATGTAAGTTGATATATTCAATAATTTCCTTTTAATCGGGTTATCAAAAGGATAATGGTTTTCCTTCCAAACTTCTAAAGGTAATATGTCATAAGCCTGATCAAATTTTATGATTTTTTTTTCAGCGATTGGTTATCGAATTCGCCACATTTCCAGATTTAACACAGCCCTATATTATATTTTTCCAATGTACTATGTTATCAGTTGCATATAAACGATCATTAATTGCACAAGCTTGCGCTATGCATAATTTACAAACTAATCTGTCTTTTCCAACCTCATCCATGGTATCAATTTACTTGGTTTACGCAATAAAAAAATGAAAATAAATTGTATAAACAATGTATTATAAATTGTATAAACAATGTATTATATACAATGTATTTGTATTATAAATTCCAAATTGAATGAATTAATAATTTAAATTTGAATTTCAAAAAATTTCAAATTTCAAAACAAAACTTCAATTTCAAAAAATTTCTTTTTAAAAAATATGTTCATTTGTTGTTCATATTTAATCAATAGTCTATAAAATGAAAAATCTTTGAATGTGAGCTACGAAATTCTCATGTAATGAATGTAATATAATTTTAGGTTAAAGAAGAAGTATATTTTCGGGACTTTTTTCAAACATCAGTCTTTAAGTGGTGTCTCAGCAATAAATCTGTCATGCCAGTGCATTTGCAGATATCATTAGCATCTATTTTGATCGAAGAACGACGCGATTTTGCGCTTCATTGGCTTCGTAATATTTTTTCTATTTTATGTATATATGAATATATATATTATATTTATATTATATATATATATATTTTATATAATATACATATATAATTCGATTCCAGTGCTATTTATACCTATGTCTGGATGTAGAAATCCCTTTCAGAGTCTTCGCCATATTATTCTTTACGATTGTCTCACGAATCTCTCATTTGAGTTTTGGGAAGGTATAAGCCATATACCGAGCATTCACAAACGCAAACAAGATCACACCGACAAACGTAGACATAACGTAACTGTAACGAAAGGTGCGGTTGCGCACAGCGGTCTATGTTGTGTGGGGAATACGACGTGTGAACGTAAACTATTCTCGCATTCATTTTTTCATCCTTTCACTATCTGTTGGATAATTTCTGTCTGCTTTGATAAGTCTGGTATCTGTTCTTGTACCGCTATTATCAATGTTTTCTTTTAGTCTAGCTTTTTCCGGTTACTAGTAGGATTTCTAGTGCCAGCTACATCAGCTATTTATCAATGGTGCAACCCACGGAGGGTCTTGCTTTGTCAGGGTCTTTGACATATACTAAGCCCCATTCATATTTTTTCTGGCTCGTATAGTTTCAGTTCTTGGATGGTAGATTTGAGCAATTTTTTTTGTATAGAAATTTCCATGCAATGTAAGGAATTTCTGGATATTTACGTCGACAGACTCCATGTTCTCCTTTAATCATTCTCACTATACCAGCTGCACATTTGGTGATTGGCAAGGCTTATACATTTTTGGAATAAACTCCGTTTTACATATTGAATTTGCTCTTCAGAATTTGTCTTTTTTTCTGATAATACTTAGATGTTATCTTGCCCTTCATCTTGATTTCCATATCTGCGGTCCACCTCATCAGTATTAACTCCTCGCGTCACATTTCTCATGTCCGAGTGACATCCCATTGTCTTCGCTTTAAATTAGTGTTCGATGAATAAGTGAGTCAATGTCTCTTTTGTTTTTAGCATATAACTTGGTGTTATGCACATAAAGGAAATCATTAATGTTTCTGTTCTTTTTTGTTCTTAAATTTATAACCATATTCATTTCTTGTGATTGTCTGGCTCAAGGAGTTTGTATCTATTTAAAACAGTGGTGAGGACAATGCATTATTTTGATATATGCCTCAATTTCAAGCGTCATTTTCCACAGTCCCATTGAGTTCTCGATGCCGATCCTGTTGACTTTGTATAAAATCAGATAATCATAGATCCATGTATGTGATATTGAGTCATAGGGCTTTCCTCTAATCAATGTAAAGCTCCTTGAGCCAATGTAAGCTGTGCTTGGATTGATCTGTCGAGACTTCGGATCTTGGCCATTGCTTTACGTATGAGCAGCTGGTGTAGTTTGCAGTTATTTTGAATTGTACTCAAGTGCTGATTCGTGTGGTTCATGTGGTCTTGTAGCTTGAATAAGGATTTTCCATATTGTTATTAGTTGGTTATTACCTTACAAAGATCTTTCATGGTTAATACCGTCATAAGCACCTGGTTTATCTGTGTTGCTCATGAACCGCTGATAGTTTCTTTAGGCAGTTGGTATGGATCATGTTCGGACCAGGTGCTATCCAGCTTTTAATATTTTTGAGTCGCTCTTGGATATTTGCAACTGCAGTGCTAACTGGTTTTCGCTCTGAGGGAAAGGGATTAGTATGGTTTAATGGCTCATTTTCGAGTTTTTTTTCTCATATATTCTTTTAGTATTCTGCTATTGGTGACTACTATTACCATATTATTACCCTGCGATTAATAGTACACCTTGGATGTTTTTTTGGAGAATAGGGAATTTATCTAAGTTCTCTTATTTCTCCTACGATTTTATTTCCAGCCTCATTTTCAAAGATGCATATTTTTCTTGATTTTAAAAATTGTTAGAAGATAATAAGATTTCGATTATATGTTAGGATTGTGACAAATTTTTGCTGATTACCATTCATATATTTTGCATTCTGTTTTTAGAAGAAAAGTGGTACGCTTGGTATAAACAAAATGTCTGTCAAAAAGAAGATGTCTTCACTTATCGAAGTAGTCGTAAAAATATTGAGCAAATAGGCGAAGATTCTTTTGAGGTAAAATTATTATTTCTAATTAAGCTCGTTCTTTTTCTTTTATTTTTTTTGTTTTTTTATGTCGTTGCCATTTCAGTTGGAAGCATTTTTACCAGATTACTCAAAAGATTCGGATGATTTCTTCTCAGTGAATTCAGTTATTCGATCAGATTATATATATTCCAGTGATTTAATAAAATTGCTTTCTCATTTGGAAAATGGACGTCCTAAAAATATATTTGGAAGTTCTGATCTATCGTATATGCCTCTGATGTGGCTATTTGATTTTACGAAACATTGTGGCGTAATAAGTGGCAGCCAGGAATCGCTTATTCTTCGTATCTTTCTTTCTCTTTTGGTTAACTTAATACATGAATTAGTGTACAATTATTACTTGACATTCCATCTTATTTTTACGGGTATTATTTAAGTCAAAATTTTTTTATTCTAATTTTGAAGATTTTGAAAACGGAATATTTTGATAATTTACGTAGAGACGATTAGAAAATTAAATTTTTTATTTAATTAAATTAAATTTTGTATTTCTACTTGCTTTCTATATGATATAAATTTTAGCAATATAAAGCTTTAGCTTTAGCTTTTAGCTTTGTATTTTTGCAATATTGTAGATAATCATTATCGAACATTAACTGAACTAAAAGAACAGCACGCAGAAAATTCAGTCGACGTATATCATAGGAATAATGCCAGAGAATTATTGCGTTGTACTAGGGCTATTTCTGCATTGTGCGAACGTGTTCGAGCTCTGAAAATTATTTGGCCCGAAATAACTGTTTTAGACGACATAATAAGGGTAATTTTATTACCAGTAAACATTTTTGTTTGCTTCAAATTTTCAAATTTTTATTTTAGGCTGCAAGTCGAATCCTTGATACTTCTGCTAATACACCAATAATGCGATTAGCAACTCTTCTTGAACGTCTTCTAGGTAGTTTAAAATTTTTTGCTGTTTTTTATATTGGGTTATTTTTTTGTCTCCACTGATATAAATTAAATTTAATGCAGAGGAATGTGAAAATTGGGAAAAAATTGCTGCTCGCGAATATTCACTCATTTACATTTTAAAAGGCTTACGACAACTTTTATTAGACTGGCGTAAGATGGAGATACTATGTTGGAGTCATCTTCTGGACGAAATTCAAGTTTGTTCAAATTTTAATATAAGAAATTTTATTTTAGTATAGAAATTTTAGTATCTTTTTTCAGTTTTATAAAGATTTAAAGATCTAAAAGATTTGAATTTTCACTGTAGGAATTGCTATTAGGAATTCTTAAATTAATAATAATACTGAAAAGAAGGATGCAATGCTTTTAAGTTGACCAGAACTGTTTTAAGAATTCTTTCTTAAAGAATTCAGAATTTCTTTAATTCTGATAATTTCATTCCAGGATGTTTGTTTTTCTCAAGCCCTATTGATTTCTTGGCCATTATTTGATGCTGTAGTAAAAAATACTGATGATGAAATAATCACCATGCTAATTGCATGGATTCAGCAGTCAACTATTGGTGACTTTAACGCTCGTTTACGATCTGCTTCATTACTTCAGATATGGTGCAAATGTTGTGCTTCAAATAATAGTATTGATTTGCCTCGGAAGCTGTTATCTGTACAACGATATTTTGAACAATATAAAGAGGTAAGAGGTTCTTTTCACTTTTGCTCTCAACCAGTTTTGCATTTGCTTGTTCTTTGAAAATAAGTATACTTCAGGTTCATAGGAATAAACGCAATTCACTCGTTGGCCCCATCGAAAGTAAGCTAAAGGATTTCATTGCTATTGCAAAATTTTCCGATTTGAATCTGTGGAGTGTAAAATCATCAGCTGAAAAAAATCATCAACAATTGTTTAGAATGGTGAAACAGTTCAAGGTTTGTTAATTTAAATTCAGTGATGTTGGCGACTCACCTCTCTCGTCACCACTTCCTGGCATATTGCCCAATGCGACAAGCCAGTGGAGCGAGTTTGACCAGTAATGGTGCGGACTCTTAGAAAAAAATTTTAAATTCAGTTAGTCTGGTATTTTGTGTGTTTTTTTGGTTTTTCAATGAGTTTCACCTTATCTCATTTTTTTTATTTTCTTGTTCTTTAAAAATATTTTCTACTAAATAGATTTCTATCAATACAACAATATCTCGATTAATTGTCGCTGCACTTTTCCAGCTTTGCTTGAATGAACCTATGGCCCCACTTTTCGATGAATCACTTTCTATACCAAATTTTCCCAGTATTGTGGTGCCTGTTTTACTTGACGACTATGAATCTATATCTAATCCTTTGATTAGATGTGCTAGCAAAATATCACATGCGATTGTTGATACTCTGAGAAAATCGTTCAGATACGATGAGATCACTAAGGTGTGAAATTTTTTTTTAGAATCTTGTCAGCTATTTATTTTTTTCGTATTATTGTTTGGAAAATATATGTAATATAAATTTTCAGGTGATCGAAATCTGTGCTGAGTGTGATTCTCTTATTCGTGAACAGATCATTTATGAAGGTGATAGTGAAAAAAAGGAAAAAGAACAAGGAAGAGCTCTAAATATTAGGCAGAAGGTAGTGAAAAATGATTAAAATGAAGAATTCAAAGAGTAATGAAGTATAATCTCGAAATGAATTTTGTAAAATCAATTATTCATATATCATTTTAGGCTGTTGCTCGTTTCTTGAAAGAAATTGTTGCATTAGGTATACGAAGTAGAAAAGGTCTTATTATTGATGGAGAGGAACTAACTGCAAAATCTATGATAAATTTAGATGGAGATTCTGATTTAGAAACGGTATATTTATCATTTCACAGTTAGATTTAACGAAATTTTTTTTTATTTTATCTTCCTACCATTGCTAATCACTTTACGTTTTTCTACAGTTTTAATGTTTTACATCGTATTTCTCTATCTGAGCAGAATTCGATTCCATGCAGGAGTGAACCTGTACAAGAATCCGGTGATTCTGGCGACTCACCTGTATTTTTATCGCCAAGGAACTCCCTGGCATATTGCCCAATGCGATAAGCCAGTGGAGCGAGTTTAACCAGTAATGGTGAGGTCTCTCAAAAAAAATCTAAAGCAGAATTACTCTAAGTTATGCTTCAGTTAATTTAAATGTACTGTGAATAGATTGATCTTTCGATTTAAAATTTAGATTATACGTCGATGTGTGGTCTTCAGGAATTTAATTTTGAAAGCTTTACAAAAACCCAACACTCAACTATCTTCACAGATTATTTCAAATTTTAAAGGGATTTCTGAATTTATTCTTCATGAATTAATCAGTGCGCAACAAATTATTCATCATTATAAAAATTCGCTAGAAAAGCTTATGGCAGTTAAGAAAATGTTGTGTATTCAACTTTGCAATATGACGGTATTGAATATTATCAATATTCTTCGATAATCTTATGAAGATTTTTGTCAAAAATTGAAATTTCACAAATTTGAAAATAAAATTTCGATGTTCTGAATCAATTTTTTAAATTTTTTACCAATAAATTTTGTAGAAAGGTGTAAACGCTTTTTATTATCATTACGAACGTACAATTAACGTAGAAGCAATATGGAATGGAGCAACAATTTTAGAGGCATTGTGTGAAGATATGAAAATTCAGTTCAAAATGGCACCTCTGAGTTGTGACTTGAATTCAGAGGTATTATATTTATATTCTACGATTTTTAAATTACTTTTTTCCTCAAGATGAACTTGAATTTTATTTTTGAATGGTTTTATTATATACATCAATAGTTTTTTGCTAATATTTGCTAAAAGAAGCTTTCAAAGTCTTATTAAATAATTATAGCAAATCTTTACTTTAATCCACGTAATTTTATTAGAACTTTTAGCCTTTGAAGCAGTTCGATTTTGAAGAAACACCGCTTTCGAAGTTAAATGCTCATGATGTATTATACTCTCAAACTATGATTGCTTTAAATGCGTTCCAGTCTTTAATTACAAGTTTTAAATCTGAATTGAATGTTTACATGGATGAAGCATATGAAAAAGCTATCAAAATCTGGAGCTGGTGAGAAAAATTTATTTTTTAGCCCAAAATATTATCTCTTTATATTTATGTGGTTTCACTGTCTTCAGTTTTTCATTTCTTCAGTTTTAACAAAATTTATTTCATGGATGGTTGTTTCTGTTCAGCTACCTTCTCTGAGGTCCCATTTTTTTTGCTCTATCTTTGCGCTTTCTAGAATTTCAAAATTTCTGCAAACAGTAATTTTAATTCAGAGCAGGTTGCGATTATATAAATCAAATATTGGAGAAGGTATTGGAACATCGCTTCAAATACCGTCAGCTCATCATCATTTGTTTCATTCATTTTGTAGCTAACTTCGGTTCAATTGACGGCGCTTTGAGGGGTGATGGAATGTAGTGATGACGATGTTCTAGAGAAGATTATCCGATTCTTAAGAATTTTTTATCCGCGTACATCGTTGTATATATGTCTAAGTATAAGGTGAATTGATAGGCCGTTTACAAATAAGAATTAGTGTCCGTCCATCAAAGCTGCTCTCATTCCTCTATAATGTTCAACAATATTCTATGCGACAAATTGGAAATCGCTTGTTGGCTCATTCAAGGGTTTATCAGTCCAGAACATGATATTACAGATCTTGAATACACTGATAATTTAGTCCTTTTTGATGACAGTTATGACGAAATACAAATAATGCTAAATGTATGGACAAGCGATCTATAGTAAAAATTTGACCATGATTAATATAAATAGGACGAAAGTCTTTTTGAAGCTGATGAAATACTTCCTCCTTTTATCAGTTCTTTGTGGGTTGAAGTGCCAGATCTCGAATATCTCAGATCTATTCTAATTCCAAATGGCCAAGCACAAGACGAAATAACAGCCCCGATAATGTCAGCTAGAGATGCTTCCGATTGATGAAACCTTTATGGATTCATCGCAGAATCACTATAAAGCGAAAGCCCCTGTCTATGCTGGCCATTGATAGTGGAGGATATTAAGAAGCTATCTGCCACTCATGTCGAAGATATATTTTATGGGTTTATCGAGTGGATGAAATCTCATATGCATTAATACTACCATCAGATCACAGCTTTTGCTGGTTCTTTTAGGGCACGTTCTTCCACCACATAAGTTGACGCATGTTTCTTTACTTGCTATACCTTCTAATGGCTTCAAAAGCGAGGAGAGTCAATCAAGACTTGGGCTGATTGAGCCAGAAAAGACAGGGGAATCGGTGATATATGGACTCGGACGGTGGAAGAAGCGATAGCTTCCATTACTATCGGAGAAAACATCGCATCGAACAGCTTAGAACAGCTTTTCTTTTTCTTGCAATCAACTGAGCTAGCCCAGCCAGTAATGGTGAGAGCTGTTGGAAGAAAAGAAGAACATCTCCCAATACAAGCAAATTTCTGTTGCTTGTAATTGAAAAAAAGTTTTTGTATTAACGAGATTTTAAATAAATTTTATGTCGTGCTTATCTCTTTCCAAACAAATTTTGCTCACTTTCACTTTGAAATTCTTTGTAATTAGTGGTTTCATGTCATAAAAATCATATTTGCAAAATCATATTTCTTTGCTCATATTATTTCATACATTCAATCAAAATTTTATCATTTTTAAGGTCGGAATTGAATGATTTCAATAAATTGATTGATGAGAAGCACGAATGCTCAAAAATTTTTTTCGACAAGTTGTCGCCTTTATTTCCAGTGCAAATTTTGAACAGTAATGGTATCTTTGAAAATATGAAACGCTTCAGTCGTTTATCTCTTGATATTCCTCTGCCTGAAGTTTTTGGTCACTGCTCACTGGAACCGATGCAACTTTTTATACAAAATATATTTAAGAAGACAAGTCAAACAGAAAAATCTGTCTTTATGGACAGTCATACGAATATTGGCAGAATATTGAAAGGTGTAGACATGGAGAAGGTTTTTTTGTTTTTTATCATTACAGATGCTAGAACTAATTTACAATTTTTGCAAAATTTAAAAATTACTTTAAAAATTATAACGCTTGAATTATATCGGTATATTTATTTATTATTGAGGATGATAATTTTTTTTTGTTTCTCGCACGGTATATTCAATTTTTAAAAGCAAATAATTTGTGTAAATTGATTGAAAGGATTACTAATATTCAGTTTATCGATTCTTTATGGAATGTTTGTAATACATTTTCGAATGGCAAAAATGTGAATTGCGTACTTGTCGATGTTGTATCGCTTTGTAAATGCATCGCCGATTTGAACACTTTTCTAGTAGAGTTAATGCAATGCAGCACGATGAATTTGGCATTATTCTATCTTCATTTCGGATCGCTATCTGTTTATTTGTTGCAGAAAGTTTGTCGTCTGAATTAATTATCTTGAATTAATCTATATTTCTATGATTTTCTATGATTATGAAAGAAATTTATTTAAAGGGTTATGTAAATGCCATACCAAAAGTTGGAAAATTTGATGGTGCTGGAGAAAATCGGAGATTAGGAGACGATGGAGTTGCTGGAATGGGAGATGGTGAAGGAGATAGAGATGTGGGTGATGAAATGGATAATATGGGACAGGTAGTTTTGTTGACAAGTGTTGACAAATAAAATAAATATGCTATAATTCTGAGTATTTTACTATATTTACCATAGATCGAAGGATTAAAAGATGATAATCATGAAAATCAACCAGCTCCAAAATCAGCTGATGAAGACGTGCTCATTGATGTTGATGATGAATTTGATGGAGACATGGAAGATATTGATAGAGAAATGTCATCAGGTGATTAAAGATTGTGTATTTTCAGTTCTACGATATTATGATCAATTTATGATTTATAATTTGTTATGATTATTTTGTTTTTGAAGAAAGCGAAGATGATGGAGAAAATGAAGTTGATGCAGATCAGATTATGGGCGAAATAGACGACAGTGAAGAAAACCAATTAGATCCTGGATTATGGGACAATGAACAAAATGACGAATCATTTGAAACTAGCGTTGAAGAGCAAGCAGGTTATCAATTATTTTAGGAAACAATCTTTATCTAAAATGAGTTTTTTAAGACCATACATTCTCAAACCATATATTTTCTTTCTGCACTGATATTAAAAAATAAATTTTAGAGAATATTATAACTGACAAATTCTTTAAATCTTATTAAACTTTTCCTATTTGCTTGATGATTTAACTTGACAGGTACAAACGCTAAAACACAGAATCTGGCACCAGCAGATAATCCAACAGAGATCGATACAAAAAGTAAAAATGATAATCAGGAGTTAGAAGAACTGGAAAATGTGGATGAAGAAGATTCTACTAATGAAGCAACTCAACAATCGGAGTTATCGAACAAAACTGATCCGAATTTTATGGATGATGTAAAGTGCAAAAATGACTTCAAGGATGATACCTTGAGGGAAGAAAATAAAATGGACCAAGAATCCAATCACGTAAATGCAGATAATCAGGAAGAGGATGGTTTGAACTTAGAAGAAGTTCCCGAACCAAGCGAAGAAATAGAAGATGGTTCTGATAGAGATTTTGATATTGAATCTTTTCCTGATGCAAATGCTATTCCAGAGGAAAATATGGAAGAAGTATGATATGCTTTTTATATTCACCTAAATTTTGTGTAATTCTTTAAGATTAACTGATTGTTTGCAGAACAAAGAAATGCATCATGGTAAAACCGAGTCCATACAAGTACAGATGGATACTGTTACTTTTAGTACAAGTGATGGTAATAAAGGAGGAACAGGAGGAAAAGAAGGCGAAAATATTGAAGATAATAATGCAGTGGAGGAAGACGGCGGGAAAGGATCATCGCAATGTGATGATGATATTCGAAAAGGCGAGAAAGGGTATCTTTTTTATTCATGTTCGTTTTTTCTGATTCTTTCTGAAGATTATTATTTTAATTCGAATGCTAAGAATTTGATTTTAATTCAGAGATAATGGTGGAAATGATTCAAAAACGAATGATGTGGTGAAATGTTCAGATGAAAATAATGAAGGCGAAAAAAGTCAAGAAAATATCAAGAAACAATGCAGAAGTGTCAGTGATTATGATGCCAGTACAAATGAATTAATTGACTTGAGCATGATTCTTGGTGAAGGCAATCAGAGTGATGAAACTGACAAACAAAGACAACAATTTTTTCAAGCTAATGATGAAATGGATAATTATGCACATAAATCTGCCATCGACAAATCAACTGTACAAGAAGCAAAAGCTAGTAGATCAGTTATCGAAAAATTACGCGAAACACAACGCATATTTAATGATGTTAGTCGTGATATAGAATGTCTTTTTAGTCTAAGTAATATGTTTACATTTCTGTTTCGCTGAACTGTTTCAGATGAATCGTCAAATGCAAATTATTTAGATAGAGGAGATAGGAGATAGTGATCTAATAGATGAAGAAGAAATGAATGAAGAGCTAGATAAAGATAAAGGCATGGAAATTGATTACATCAATGCGGAAGAAAATAAGGAGACAGTCATACAGGCAACAGTAGATCTGTATCAGTTTGTAAGTTTTATTTTAAGATTTTACAGTGGACCTGTTGAATTATTTCTTGCTTCTATATTTTATATTCTTATAAATTTTAGCATTTTATCTAGCCGTTTTTGTTGAACAATTAGTCTTAGTTATTCAAGAAAGTCATAGTCGAAGGGGAGCACATCCACACTTTTTTTTTGAAACTTCCGAAATTTTTGTGGTAAGATTTATATTTTATATAATATAAAAATTTTTCAAAAATTTGAAATCAAAAAGAACGAAAGTTTTTTGAAGTTTTATCTTTTGTATCTGAAATTGTAGACTGAATCAATTGTTTCTTCAAAATTTGCTTTAATCGATGATGGGCATTTCGCTTTTGGTAACGATTGTGCAGCTGATCTTTGGGCCCAGATCGAGAATTCTGTAGTTGAATTGTGGCCTGAGCTCGCGGAAAATTTACGTATGATAATTGAACCAACTAAAGCATCAAAGCTGGAGTAAGTTTTTTTTTATTTAATAGATCAGTGATTTTCACGAAATTATATTTATATGATTTGAAAACTGTTTTTAGTTGCCTTTAGATTTTTTAGTAAATTATTACAATGGATGTGTTGCAGAGGTGATTATCGATCAGGTAAACGATTAAATATGCGACGTTTGATTTCATATATTGCAAGTGATTTTCGCAAGAATCGAATTTGGATGCGGCGAACTAGGCGGGCTCAACGTAATTATCAAGTTCTTATTGCAGTCGATGATTCAGCCTCCATGCTTGACAGGAATTTGAGACTTGTTAGTTTATTCCAAGTTATGAAATTCATGAATATTTAATATTATTTACATATATTCAAAATTTACAGATTACATGCCAGAGTGTTTGCATGATCGACAAAGCATTAAGTCGCTTAGAAATTGGTCAATTAGCTTTATGCAAATTTGGTAAAAGTGTTAAAATGCTTAAAAATTTTGGATCAAACGATGTATCCTTAGGCGGTCAGATTCTAAATGAACTGACTTTCAAGCAAAACAGAACTGACCTGGCAAATTTAATGGTTGCCAGCAAGAAGGTTTGTGCATAAAAATCCGAAATCCGAAATTCCAGGCTTTCATTTGGGAAAATTACCCTAGTATATATTTTTCTTTTGTTTTTTAACTTATAGGTTAAAGGTATGTATATGCCCATTTTCGACATAATATTATTTGAATCAATGCATTTTTATAGTTTTTGGATGAAGCGCGAGGACGTGAGCGATGCGAGCAAATGTTGATCATAATTTCGGATGGTTTAGGTGTTTACACCAATGGAACTACTGAAATCATTGCGGTAATTATTTTTTTAGATTAAAAATTCATTTATTAATGTAAAAATATATAATAGAAAATTTTCTTGATTATTATCTATAAATTTATCTATAAATTTTTATTTGATTTGTTTTTTTTTCAAATATTTAGTGAAATGATTAGCTATTTTAGGCTCTGAAAGCCTTACAAACTGATTGCGTTACCGTTTTATTTGTTGCAATGGATAGTGGAAAAAACTCGTTAACTGAATTATCAATCGCCAAATTTTCGACTGATGGAAGCGTTGAATTAATTCCCTATATGAAAGACTTCCCATTTCATTTTTATATATTGATAAGACATATAACATCCTTACCTGCTGCTCTTGCTGAAGCAATTCGTCAATGGTTTGAATTAACAAGAAATGAAATTTAGATCAAAAAAAATCAGATTTGTTTTCGTTTATTATTGTATTTTTTATTTGTCGATTACCGATTACTGGTTTAACCAGAATTTTATCTAAATTTGCTTAAACATTTGATTTTTTTGACAAACTTTTGACCAATCAAATCTCAAGTGTTTGATGTACGTCCGATTCGCTATTATTTCTTTTTATTTTTCATTTGTTCTTTTTCCTTATTTTTTTGTGTTGCTTTGATTCTTTTAAGGTAATTTATCTTATTTTGAATTTTTCCGAGATTCTTTTCTGTTATTAGGGAAATTTTTAAAAATAACTTGCTCTAATTAGATGAATGGAACGTAAAATACTTTTAAAAAATGGTAAACGATTCAAGAAAATTTTATCAAGTAAAACATGGATCAATGGCATAAAAAGCGACATAAAAAGATAACGGTGAAAAAAGAAAAAATATAATATACATTAATACATACAAATAATAACAATTAAACATAAGATGGGATGTGGCAAACGACACCAGTAACATCTAAAGCTGAATAAATAAAAAGGTTTTCTAACGGAGCATCATTTTCCGATAAAGCCTGAAATTGCGACAATTGGAATGCGATGGTATAAATATAGTTAAAAGATAAAGCAAACCTTTATTGCTTCCTGTGCTATAATAGCACCGACAATAGCACAAGCAGGACTCAACTGCCGGCCCAAATAACTGAAACTTTCAGAATTAACAAACAAGAAGAGCATAAAGCAGTACATTTGCAGTTCTACAAAATATTTGCATATTAAGAAAAGAATAAGAACATTAATAAAGATCATTAACAATTATCATTGTATTTATTATCATTATTTATTGTTTTGTTGCATTATTATTGCACTTTTCATTTGTTCATTACTGGTTTAGCCAAATGATAGTTCTCCATTTGCTTAAATATTTTTTGACCAATCAAACTTCAAATATTTGATTCACATCCAATTCTGTTTTTTGTTTCATTTTTTGTTTGTTCTTTTTCTTTTTTTGTGTTTCTTTGTCTCTTTCACTTTAAGGAGAATTTATTAAAACGATCACTTACAATTTGACATCATCTTCTGCGGTCTGATATTTTCCTTTCTGATTGCTCTTTTCCAATTCTTCTTCCCAAAATTTCAGGAAAGTGGTTGAATCCACATGATCTGATTGGTCAGATGCACGAAGTAATGCTAAAAAATAATTCGTTTTCTTCAAGTAAAAAGAGGAAGACACGAGAAGTGGATAATGAACCTCGAATTGGAAAATAACAATGTGGTAAAGTTCTTGCTTTACGGATAAACTTTTTTTGTGACCAGTCCACATTCATTGTAACCTCCCAACTTGGAAATGAAATACCCTGAAATAACAAAATGCATAAGAAAACTAGAAAAAATTAGAATAGAATATAATACATAGAAAAAATAAAATTAATAATTAATGAAATGATTCGATTTGAAGCGTACGATATGCATATAATGATAATGATGCATTTTATTTCGCTTCACTATCATCACCATTTGAACGAGAAGTTTATTCGACTCAACAATTTGGCTACACTATGTTGTCTATTCATATTTCTTATGAATGAATGAATAATGTGGTTTTCTTTAAATAGCAATCACCATTTAGAATCGCTTCAATGGCGTATCGCACTAAACAAATATGTAGAGAACTACATGACAATAAAGGTCCAGGTGAGTTGCCAGCATCATTCGGCTTCATTTGAATATATAAACTATTTTTTCCATCACCCTGTGAGTGATCATGATAATCTTCAACTTCGTCTCCTCCACCAGAGGCCTGGGATATTGAGGATTTTGCGCATATCTTAGCTGTTCCTAATAGCTTTTTGGACAAAGATCTCTGATATTATTCCTGGAATCTGCTGAAGCCATTTTTCTAGTTTAGGGATCACAATTCCAACTATCACTGGAATTACTTTGGACCTTTATTTTCCACATTTTCCCTAGTTCCTCTTTTGGGTTCTGGTATTTCTCTAATTTTTCATATACCATTCTTAACTAGATACTGCTATATCTATCAACAGTGCTAATTTTTGATCCTTATCCACTACCACGATATCTGATTGATTGGCCAGTATTTGTTTAATTGTTTGTCTGGAAGGAGAAGTCCTTCAGAATCTTCGCCTTACTATTCTCTACGATTTTCTCAGGAATCTTCCATTTAATCTTGGGAGGGTATTCCTGTAAACAATGCAAGCTACTTGATTATGCTTTAAAGCATAACTATATTCCTGCTTGAATTTTACTATGTGTTGGAGTGTTTCTGAGGCGTCCGCCTTGTATAGTCTGCATTTTTCTGTAGTCTGCAAAAGTTCTGTAGTGTGGTAGTCTTTCGATGGATCTAGTACTTAGTGCTTGCTCCTGTGTTGCTATAATCAATGCCTCAGTATTGTCTTTTAATCCGGTTTTCTCCAACCACTGGTATGATTTCATAATATAGTTATCATAGCTGTCGATGGCACAATCCACGGAAAGCCTTGCTTTGCCATGATATTTCCTCTGTGCGATCGTTTTCCAGTTTGTAGATGCTTCAGATTCCTTAACAGCTCATCTTTTAGTGCGATCTGGTATTTTTGAATGCTTCGGATTTCGTTTCTCTGCTGTTTTCACATTCACCAAGCTCCGTCGGCCTTCTTTTCAGCTGGTGCACAATCTTTGGGTATTACATTTGGGGTAGAAATTTCCGTTCATTCCGTTCATTGTGAAAAGAAAAATATTTCTCACATCAGCGCCTCCATCTCTTCGTTTGTCCGTCTTACTATGCCAGCTGCATATTTGATGACCGGCAGGGCGTATATGGCATGGATTTTGTTTTTCCCATTAAGCTGGCTGTTCATGATTTTTCTTCTCCTTTTGTGATAGATAATGATAGATGATAGATGTGATAGTCTTCTCTGCCTCCTCATTATGAGATACCACAGTACTTGTAGCTAGCTTGTATGTTATACGTACTGGTGGCAGATAGATCCATCCCGTCAGTCATTACTACTTTCCCTCTCTTTACTACCATCGGGCCACATTTCTCTAATTCGAATGACATCCCAATGTGCTCGCTATAGATCCGTTTGAGCAAGTTAATTCTGGTTCATTTTTTGCTTACAACTTAATGTCATCCATGTAGAGAAGAAAAATGATTTCGTTCTTGAATTTGTATCCATATCCGCTTCTGATTGAGGAGGTTTAGACCTACAATAAAGGAGACAACTCTTGGCATATGCCGCTTTTGATAGTTATTGTACAAGCTGTTTCGAGTTGATTTCAAGTGTTGTTTTTCACAGACTCAATGAATTCTCATTTATTGCCTGTAGGACTTTGAGCCAGACATTCATAGATCCATGTGCAGGACTCAGTCTTTCCTATAGTCAATCCAACTGTATTTTTCCAGCATCTGGGCATTATTGCTAACCTTCACACCTTTCTGTAATGCTGTGAGCTCGCTGATCTTTTCCATGGATGTATAGCATTGTTGTTTTTCTTGATATTATACCACAGCATTTCCAGAATTACGGTGGCTGTGGCGTACACCAATTCATTAGTTTCTGTTATTATAGGAATTGTTGGAATTGTTGCGAGGATTCCATTGCCATCTTCGATTATATTATCTGGTGTTGCATCGCACAGCCTCAGTCTCGATGGTTAAATATAGCCATTTTATTCATGATTTTCTGCCTCATTTCAACTGTTCTATTTTACGACGGAAATATCGGAAGATAGATTTCCATTTTCCCAGCCTGTAGCATATTTTTTCACATTTTTTCTTTTCTCATCTTGCTGAACATTCTGGATCTGGAGTGTAGAACTAATCCATCCCCAACTGAATTTTTTCAGTTAGTATAGACGTAAGTCTTTTTTCCATCCACAGGCCCTTCATATGTTTCATATAATCCTTTTGGTTAGGTCATATATTATAGTAGCATTCCATCAGTTCGAGATTCTTATCTCCTCCGTGTAAGGTTCCAATAGCCCTTTTAACGCCAGACTGCCCTGGTTCCTCAGCCTCTGGCCCGTATATACCCTGTTAATCTCATCGGCGACCGAGCTAGCATGATCTTAGTACGGCACTCTCACAATGAGGTAGGTAGGGAAAGTAAGCATTAAGGAAATCTTGCCCAAGGATCCCAGCGGAAAGAAACAGGATACGATTCGAAGCAAAACGTTGCTGTTTTTTGTTTTATGTCGATCGTCCACTACACTAAGCCGTATGTATATATTTTATATTCAAATAAGAAAAAACCTTTTCACTCCTACGGGTGGTAAGGTGGTATCATCTTCAACCCGAGGTCCTCTACCACAGACCTGGGAGAGTGAGGGTATTGCGCAGTATCTTAGCTGTTTTTAACCGTGCGCTCTTCTGAATATGGGTCTTTGATGTTTTTCCTGGAATTTGCTGAAATCACTTTTCTACTTGGAGATAGTTTTAAGTGTTCCATTTATCACAATTACTTACTTTGGCTTTTATTTTCCACATCTTTTCTAGTTCCTCTTTCTGGTATTCTCTAACTTTCAATATTCCTTCTTCCTATTTTTCCTGTCACTTGGTATCGCTATATATATCACTAATGCATATTAATATATTACAAAAATATTATACATATTTAATTCACAATAATAAAGGATAAATTGGCAAAAAATTAATAAAATAACTAAATGAACAAACCAATTTTATTTTTTCATCGTCGTCTATAATGACGCTCAAAGGCTTGACATCCCTGTTCAATCCATCAATAAGCATTTTCTTGGATGACGAAGGACTATTCAAAATTTCTTCATCAATTGCAGCGCAATCCACATAGGAAACCTCTTTTTTTGGTGCGTTTCTGTAATATCATTCGTCATTTCGAATGCATTAAAAAAATTTTTTTCATGAAATTAGAGAATAAAATATGATAAATAGCATCAAACTAACATCAGAAAATTATGACCATTAAAATCAAAGAATGCATAGCCCACCCAACCGTAAACACCACCTGCTTCAAATCTGAAAAACTGATTCAATTTTTTCACTTAAAAAAACTAGATTTGAAAAATTTGCAAAACTTTTTTTTTTAAATTTCTCTTTTCAATTTTATTTTTTAGCTTCAATTTACAATAAAATTTTCATAATTTTTTCACAATTGTATAATTTTTTTCCATAAACTGCATAAAATCTATGTGACTCAAAACATATAAGACGCACCTTACGTGATTTTTTCTGCAGATTTCATTAATTTTCTTGATAACTGAATATTTTTGGTCCATTAAAATCACCAAATTAAAATTTTTTAAATATTCTTCATCCTTATCAGTAATACTATCAGTATCTATATATAGTTTAACATTTGGATTGAGTATCTGACATTTACGTCTACACGCCTTGGCACACTGAAATACCAAATAAATAGATTTCTGATATAAAATGGAGGGGAAATAAAAAGAAGCGAAAATTCACTTACATTTTCGCCTATAGAAGATTTTTCAATGAAAACATTGCAAGATAAGTCCTTTTCCGTAACCTGAAAATGATTTATGATAACGCTATTTGGTCAATAAAATATACAGTACAGTGATCTATATTATAATGATATCCAACATTTTATTTTTTAATAAAATGATAAGTAAATTAATTATGCATAAATTTCCGATTTTCAAATTTTAAAATTTCCATTAAAATATAATAAACTGAAAACCTGATTTGAATCAAGAAAAGTAAGCGACTTTACTCCAGCAAGCATTAAATTTTTAGCCACTTCAGTACCACAGCCAGATAAACCAGCGATTAATACTGCAGAATTACGTAATCTTAAAACAATTGCTTTTAAGGAATTATCTGATATTATTTTTATCGAATTCTAATGAATATATTTTAGAAATTTTATTTTTTAGATAAACAAAAAGTAATTTTTCAAAATTTTCATAGCAATGATAACAATGGAAATTAAAAAGAGGATAAAATCCTGCAAAAAACCTGTTTTGAGCTCCGAAACCCCACAGCCGAATCTGGCGATCATATAAAGCTTTTTCACTATCTGTTAAATCGTTTACGTTCCCATCGTTGGAAAACGATGTTTCTCCACCAGAATGAGTCATTTAAAATATTTCAAGAAATATTTATGGACAAAAAGGAAATAATCTAAAAAAAAATAAATTTCAATTTCTTGCCAATTATTCGATACCAGTAGCAAAATCAAGTTATTACTCACGTTGTATGGAAGAAAAAAGTCGATATATCGAGAAAAAGAGGAAAGAGGATAAAATTTTGAAAAAAACCTGCTTTGAGCTCTGAAAAATGGTGAAGAATGGCATATGTTGAAGCTAATTTTTGCTTTTTAAATGCAATGTAAGCTTTAACATGTAAGCTTTAAACGAATTAAATAACAAAAAATTACGGGGATTTCTGGGAACTTACGATGCATGCAACGATTCTTTATTTAAGAATGGCTTAAATATAAACCATTTAATGTACAAATAGGAAGACACACGTTATTTCTTATGGTTATGTAATAGTATTGCCTGTAGGACTTTGAGCCAGACATTCATAGATCCATGTGCAGGACACAGTCTTTCCTATAGTCAATCCAACTGTATTTTTCCAGCATCTGGGCATTATTGCTAACCTTCACACCTTTCTGTAATGCTGTGAGATCGCTGATCTTTTCCATGGATGTATAGCATTGTTGTTTTTCTTGATATTATACCACAGCATTTCCAGAATTACGGTGGCTGTGGCGTACACCAATTCATTAGTTTCTGTTATTATAGGAATTGTTGGAATTGTTGCGAGGATTATATGCTTCATTACATTATATGCTTCATTTCGTCAAGCTTGATCGGAAATTTGCTAGCCCGATAACGGAGCATGAAATACTGCGTTGGCAAGGCCACACAACACTCGATAACTCGAAATGTGTTAAAATATAAAAGTTTAAAAATAAAAATATAAATTGAAGGGTACACTTTTAAAAACAACTAAATGGCAGTACCACATTCGGAGTACCACGCTTCGATCCCTTAACTCCGGTAAATGTTAACCGGATATTGAAAAAATCCAAGTGCACCGGACACCCACGTGAGGAACTACCAAAGACTCTCTCCCTCAAGACTTATTCAAAAACTAGTAGCCACCGTAGCATACTTAACCACAAACAGTCAGGAGTGATTTTAAACGTATAGGTGGACCAGCAGTATATGGGCTTCGACGATGGAAAAAGGAAAGCCTTCTATTACTGTCGACGATGGCGTCAGGTCAAACAACTTGGAGACGCCTTAGTTTCGCAGCCAGCGGAGCCAGCCGAGCAGCAATAGTGCCGCGAACGGTGAACGTTAGCCACTTCATTTGTTAAAAAACAGTTTTAGAAAGACAACTAATTAAAATAACTGAGGAATCAACGAAAAATTATTGAAACATCAAATCGAAAAAACAAAAAAAGGAAAACAGGACTCAACAAAAAATGTAATTTAGTCGAAAATAACAAAGATTTGAAAAAATCGAAAAACCGATTATATTTAGCGCTGCAAATAATTTTTGAGTCTTGAAACGACAACAAATTTTTGGGCTGATAGATTCGTAATATTTAAAATTAATCGATCGATAAATGCGTTCGTAATTTAATTTTCCCCCGTTTTTTGGCGGTGTTTGGTCCTTTCGTCGTTTTTTTTCACCTGGTAAATCGGTTCGTATTTGCTAAAATCTATTGGAAAGGGATTTTCGAAGTTTTTTTCGGGTTTTAAATCAGAATTCTTAGTGACATTTTTTAATAAAAAATTTGCATTTTCAAAAACTCGGAATTTTTTCAAAAAGTTTTAGGAAAAAATAAAAAATTGAGAAATTTTATGGAATTATGGAAAACTAATTTATTATAACTTTGATTAATGTTTAATAACATTTTTCTCACTTTTTTAAAATTTGAATCGATGGTAAACGACACTGATTTTTTGATGTGACTTACTAAATAATGGGAAGGTAATTTGTTGAAAATTACTTGCATTAGATTTTAGAGAAGTTTTACTGCAGTAATTGTGAAGTAATTGCCGTAATTTCACAGTTAAGACCGCAATAATGATAATAGTAATAATAAAAATAGTAATAATAAAAATAATAATGATAATAAGTTTCCTCTTTTGAAGTAATGAAAAGGGCGGAAAATCTATCGTAGCAGAATTATATTAAGCAGAATAGCGAAATCGGATGGGCCGAAGGCCGTAGTTTAAAAGCATTAGTTCGCTTTCATTCTGGGTTTCGCCGTCGATAAGAGAAGGTTGCTTGATTGTAATTTAAGAAATACGGAAACTGGAAAGTCCAGTTGGGAAGTCGAGTTGTCTTAGGACATTGGTCATTAGATTGCCTTACACGGACTTCTTGCAGTCTGTGGCCTTCAAGAGTGTCTGGAAGCTTAATACCATTTTTTAGGTATTCTTATTTTATTTACATTATTTTTTTCTTATTTTACTTATATTATTTTGCGGAAAGTTGTGGAATGAAGAAACTCTTTCATCTTTCACTCTTCTTTATAAGTAACTGATTCATTTCCTTTAAATTTAATAAATTTGTCTTATTTAATAAATAAATTTAATAAATTTGTTGAATTATCTAAAGTTCCAAGGCAAAACGAAAGTAATTTCACTGTTTAGGTAAAAAACTGGCACTGGTTAAATAACGTGTTTTTTTTCTGCGATTACCCTTGGGGTTTACCTCTAAACTCTTATACGGAAAGATTTCTTCATTTTTACTAGTTTTTAACGATTATTGTATATTTAAAAGCATTGGAGGAGAGTGGTGCACAATTTTAAGGTCGAAAAAGGTCCAAAAAAGTGGTTTTTTTTGAAAGGCTTACATAACAATGATTAGCCGAAAATATTCTTTCCTTATAAGTATGTTGAATGACATACTTATAGGAAATATACGTGAAAGATAAGAGGTATAACTCATGGAATTTGAGATTCGATTCCAGTGGTTTAAAGATTTTTGTCACTGTTTTCATAACTTTCTATGTTGTTGTATTATTTGTTCTTCATTATATTGTCTGTACTTTATGCTTTCATATAGGGCATATGCTTTCCTTTTCTGTTTTACATAATTTGATTTCCATTCATTTTAACTTATTTTATTTATTATTTATTTTATTCTATTTATTTTTCTAAACTAGGTTTAAATTTATTATTACTATAAAAAATCGTTTAATTTATATTTTAAAACTAATAATTTGGATATTATAGTACGAGTGAATCGTAAATTTTTCTTGATGATTATTTTTTTTTAGTTCGCTAAAATAATTTATTGCAAATAAAGATTGTAATAACAAAACGTATTATCAGTAGTAATTAATAGTATGATAGTGATGTTGATCATTGAACCAAAGCGACTGGTTACGCAGCGATTTGATTTGATTTGATTTACTTCAAATCATAATAGCTACAAATTTGGGATGAGAAGTGCAAGATCGCATAACCCGTTTTTTTTCTTTTTTTGTTGATTGATATGATAAATCAGTCCTTTTTTCTGTGATTTTTAAAATCTTATTAGATGCTAATATGTTAGCATTAATATGTTATTGATATCAATTTGCTGCATATTATTGAATCTTTTCACATCTAATTTTTTTACGTGCATTTGTTCAATGAATCATTTAATAACCTACAAGGTAGCCGAGTGGTTATTTTCCAGGATTGTTTCGGGCGTTCAAAATTTGGATTTTGACTCTGGCAAGAGTAAACTTGTCATTAAAAATTCCATGTAGTGCTATTATGTATTTCTTTTGCCAACAAAGTTTTTTTCTTGAAATTTTTCAGTTCCTCATTTTGATGAAAATGCTGGAATTTATTGTTATAAAAATTTTTGCAGAATTTTAATAATTAAATAATTTTCTTGACCTGGAATGTTGTTTTTAAATTGATCTCATTACTTTGCTTATTGAACGTCATATTTGCCTTTTTAATTGTTTTTTTTTACAATTTATAATTTATATGTGTCGGCGATTTTTGGTTGACGAAGTGAGCTACAGGACATTAATTCATTCATTGTTCATTTATCGCAGAGCATTAAGGTCGATTGTTATATCGTTTTTTTTTTGAAGGGATATAGTATGGATTCATTTTCCTTTTACTAGTATAAAACTCTTAGAATTGAAATCCAGGAGTTCGTCCACATGTATCTCTGTTACCCTGAAATTCTTTAATTAAGACGAAATAGTCCCACCGCAGTGGAGCTAGTTAAGATCATTCGAAAAAAAAGAAAAAAAGGAGAGATCAAAAAAGACGAAAGGGATGAATGCTTGTGTGTAGTCTTTCACCGGCGCTGTCCACAAAACCTTTTACGCTTACCATTCATTTTATTTGTTTATCGTACAAGAATGATTGTGATTTGTTCAAGTTTTATTCAATATTTTCAGGAAAATTGATCGTTGTATTTGAAGATGTCAAAACAAAAACATCGAAGTTCAGCGCGATCGATGGGAGCAACATCGACATCATCATCAGCAACTCATTCCGAATATCCATTAATGGTTGATACTGGTATGGAAGATATTGAAAGCTTCAGGTATAATTATAAAAATGATTGTAATTAAAAAATTAAGCATATAAAGTTAGACATAAGGAATAAAAATTAGACATACAAAAATTTTCCTGTTATTATCAATTATTAACATCTGATTTAATATAAAAATCTTTTATCGACTAAATATTCTAATGATATATTAATATCTGATTAAGATTTATTAAATAGCTTTTAAAAGTAAATGAAGTAATAAAAAGCTGCCTGAAGATGTATGATTCGTTAAAAATTTAAGTTACAGTTCATCGATAGCAACGTTATCACCAAATCGTCGAACTCGTCAGTTGGAAAAGGAAACATTATCAAATCTCAATGATCGTTTGGCGGTTTATATTGATGTAAGACTTTCTCTGAAATCCAACTGTAACTTGTTAAGAACTGAATTTGCTTGATTTTCAGAGGGTACGACAGTTAGAACTGGAAAATGAGCGACTTAATGTACGAATAAATGAGACGGAAGTAGTAGAGAAAAAAGAAAGAAATGATTTAGTGAGTCGATATGAGATAAAAATTAAAGAACTTCGCGATTTGCTTGATGATACATTGAAAGAGAAAACTCGTATTAGTATGGATTCTAAAGCAGCCATCGCTGAACGCGATAATATGCGAGCGAAGGTGAGGAAATTTTTCTTCATTTGATTTCCGGTTTATAAATAAAAGTAAATCGCAAATAATTTAATTATTCAATTACTGAAGTGAAAGGCAGAAAAATTAGCGATTCTTTCCAGATCGCGAAATTGGAAAAGGATTTCAAAAATGCGGAGAAGGCTCAAATGAACTGTGAGAATTTGATACAAGATCTGCAAGCTAGAATTAATTCGGCAGAGAATATGCGCCGTCATCTTGAAGATGAAAATAAGGTTTTTATAAGATAGTTAACAGTCAACCGACTGATGATTATGCATTCAATATCATTCTGAAATCAGATGTTTTAAAATATAAAGCAATGATAGTGGTCACCATAACATTTTTGCATTGTTTTGCTCGTTTTTCGAATATTATTTCATTATTAATTTAAATAAGTTATTTAGAGTTTTTTGACCGAAAATGCCGATTTAAAGCGGCAGTTAGAAGTACTTCGAAAACAAATTGAAGATGAAGCGTTAGCGAATACAGCATTAGCAAATCAAAATCAATCGTTAAAAGAAGATTATGAATTTCTAAAGAAAACTTACGAGGGAGTTAGTATATAATATATTAGTATATTTTACTTGAAGAAGTTTTTTTTGCTTTGAAAAAGTGAAGTATTCCATATTGCACTTATTCTATAAATCCAAATTTTCCATTTTTTAGCAACTTCAAGAAATACATCGAAAGCGGCAAGTGGAAATGACAACAACTGCTCGTGAAATAGAGCGCACTTATGAATCACGGCTTCAAGAGCAACTTCAGGCTATGCGTGCAGAGTTTGATGGACGCTTGAATAGAAACCGACGTGATATTGATGAAACTTACAAGGTTCATCTTTATGTTTTACGAAATGCTTTATTGAAATTTATTTGATTTTTTTTAGAATAAAATGAATGAAGCTAATGAAGCTCGCCAACAAGCAACAAACGCTCGTGAAGAAGCAGCTCGGCTTAGATTACGAATACATGATATGGAAAAAAGCACTAGTAATTTTGAAGAGAAAATTGATGGCCTCAATAAAAAGATTGCCGATCTTGAAAATCAGGTTTTTTTATCGTCATAAATTTAAATTTACGCAACATTTATTCAAAGTAAATTATAGAATCTAAAAAAAAAGAAATTTCAGTCGAAAAATTGTTCTTTTATTTTTAAATGATTTTATTATCTATTTTATTTATAGTTGCGCTATGCTCGTGACGACTGTGATGTAAGATTGCAACAACGTGATAGTCGTATAGCCGAACTGCAACAAGAAATTGATCGGCTTCTTAATGAATATCAAGATTTGTTTGATCTTAAAGTACAGTTAGATACAGAACTTAAGGCATATCAAAATTTGTTGGAAGGTGAAGAAACAAGGCTAGCTCTTTTATTCTTTTTTTTTTTAATTTAAATTTCATGATGTAAATATATAGTGTGGGAATTCTGAAATATTTTTTCGTTTTAGATTGAATATATCATCACAGTCTTCGCCTGGTATCCGTACTTCTTTCTCTGATATTTCAACTCGTCGTGGCATTAAAAGAAAGCGTTTTGCTGCTTCAGATGACAGTCTTTATTTCCGCAATACAGCCAAAACATTCAAGGTTATCATTAAAATATTGGCGGAAATAGTAATTTAAGAAATGCGATTTGTTCTGCAGGACTATATTTTATTTTTATTTTTATTTTTTATTTTATTTTTAAGACTACCGCGAATTCTGACTGTGATATCGAAATTGAATCGCACGATGTCAATGGTAAATTCATAAAACTGACCAACAAAGGTGATGAAATAGTTTCAATTGGTCAATGGGCGATCAAGAGCATAGCGAATGATCGAGAAACTGTTTATAAATTTCATTCGAGACAATCACTGAAACCTGGTGATTCTATTACTGTGAGTTTTCGATTTTTTTCTGATTTATCTGCGATGAAAATATTAGGGAAATATCAAGTTGCCTATCGTTTTAATTTTTTTTTAAATTTATTTTAATTCATGATTTATTCTCCAGGTATGGAGTGCTGATAGTGGCGAGAAGCACGCACCACCTTCACAATTGGTCATGAAAAACCAACAATGGCCATCTGGCGATCGTGTTCGTACTTCTTTGGTTGATTCAGAAGGCATGGAAATGGCTACTCGCGAAAGTGTTGCTGAATTTCAGTATGGACAGTTTGCTTCGGAAGATGGGCAAGATCCTGATCAGCGTTGTTCATTAATGTAATGTTGTGAGAAGCAGGCTTATTTCATGAATATATGAATAAACATGAATTTTCGGAAAAATTTTCATCATTTTTTGATTTCTGTTTTTTGGACATGAAAAAAATTTTTTTCAAAATTTTTTTATCCACCGGTAACCTTCTGGGAAGTTGTAGTCGAAAATCCGTTTCGAGGAACTTTTGGTTTGACAGTTATAAGGAATGTTTCATCTAGATTTTACTTAATTGTCTTTTTATTAGAGAAACATCGGGAATTTCATTTCATTTTACGATTGAAAAACGAAGATGCTACTTTTTTATTGCTCGTCTCTACTTATGCTAAAAATGAAAATTTATTGAACCATTAGTCAAATTACCTTGCTAATATTTTTTCTTTCTTCAGATATTACTTTTTTATAGATTTATCTTCCAGAAGACAAAAAGTAACACATGGACTTTATTCCACATTTATGCGAATTGAGAAATTTTTTTTTAAAAATTGAGTTTTTTAAATTTTATTTCTTTGTTTTTGTGATTTTCCTTTATATCCTTCCATTTTTTATAGAGTTATAACTGAAATTAGCCTCAACCTAAAAGTAATATAAATTTATCTGTTCAGTTTCGCTTAGCTTTTTATTTTTTTCGTTTTATTAAATTTCCGGGTATTTTTTTAATACCTGCACCATAACTCTTAGGCCTGCCAATTTCAGTTTGTTCTGTTCTATCTGGCAACTTGTTATTTGTTATCATTCGCATTTCCAGACTTCTTGTTCACGTATCTCATTTTTTTTTGAGCAACGTTAGCTAGTTCAAAAAATGATCAGATGGAAATGTTTATGCCATTTATCGTTAATATGATAATTAATAAAGGAAATTATCTTAGAGAATTTTTTTATATTTATTTAAACAATTATTCGTTCATCATAATTTCATTCGTTTCTAAACTTTTATTTTGAATTTATTTTTAATTTAAATAGTTTTTTAATTTTATGAATTCTTTTATAGGTTACAAAATGATATTGCTAAATTTTGATGAGAGTTTGATAAGTTTTGGTAATTTAATAAATAAATTTTACAAATTTTAGTATATATTTCTATATTTCTTCTGTTTTTTGTTACGGTTTCAGTATTGTTGAAAAATGTTTATTTTCGTTTGATTGTTTTTTCTTTGATGAAATCGTTGAATAAATTTTTTATTTTTTGATCGGTTTTTACGCTTCTTATATTAACTTTAATCGTTTCAAATATATTGAAATGTCGAAATGTGCAGAAAGAGAAAGAAAATATAAATGGAATTTCCAATTTTCGGATGATATTTCGATTAGTCATTATCTCCTGTTAGATTTACATTATGGGTATATATATTATTTTGTATTATTTACGAGTTGCAATGTTTCGGATTTTTGTGAACAGTTGTTTCATTACGAGTTTGATGAATGGTTCACAATTTGTTTTACTGGTAGGAATTTAATTTTTTTTATTGAATTTAGATTGGTTAGTTTGTGCCGATTTGTGTGAAGTTGGCTTATGATAGAGAATAATAAAAAAAGGAGAAACGATGGGAAAAGAAAGAGCAAAAAGCAAACGATGAATAACGGTCGGTTAGTTAGTTGATTTATGCAATTGATAACATCAGTGGTGCTTGGTTGGTTAATTGTTTGTTATTTCACTTTTAAATTTGCATTATTCGAATATGCTGAGGGTCTTTATTTTTTCTTGGGGGTTTCCGTTTAAAATTTGGCCTTAATTACTTTAAATGTTCACCAAATGTTTTTCGGCAGCTTTTGACAACTATTGTCTTTTAGCTGTTTCATTTTATTTATTGGCATTTAGGTTTCAACTTTAATTATTATTGTTTGCTTAATTTTGCTATTATCGTCATCTTATGGATTTGCAGGATTCATCCTCATTTTATATTTGCATTTTAAGGTTTTCTTTTTGTGTTTTTTGATGGTTATTTTTCTTTTTATTGATTTTTCAGTTTTCTTTTTTATTTTTGGTTATTTGGTTCTTTATTCATTAATGAATTTTGGGATATATGGCGAATGATTTTGTATTAGAGTTTCTATTCGTTTGGTTTGCAATATTCTTATTGACTTAGAACTAATCGTTAATTAATTTCAGTTTAATTTATTGTTAAATTGCTTTGATTTTATGATTTTATTTGGGATTTATTTTGTATATTTCTCGCGAAAAAAAGTCTTCGCGTTGATGCTTATTTTTTCATTGGCAATATTGCGTTTTGCTTGTTATTTATTTGATTTATAAGATTATTATAGATATTAGGTGCAATTATTTTTGTTTTTAGATGTGGACAGGGATTGGGATTGTTTTATTAATTTTTTCATTCACACATATTTATTGTGCTGCGTCAGAAGACTCGAAACCTAAAGGGCCTAAAGTTACTGATAAGGTTGCTTTTTAACGTTGCTTCTTTTTTCTGGTATGGAAAAAGAGTTGTCGTCTTTTGATGATCATCGAATACTTTTTTATTGATAGAACTGAAGATGTAGTTTTTATACCGATTTTTATGACAAGATGGTTCATACAAATGTCGTAGCCTAACTTATTTACTTATGACCGATTTGTTTTATTGATAGTCAATTATTTTAATTGATCAAAAATATAGAATTTGTTTGTATTAACACAATTGGCATGGTGTATGGTGTAGCCGAAAAGTTATTCATTTTTCTCTCTTCATACATTTGATTTGTTGAGGTTTAATTGTTATGAAGCTATTCTTTTATAAATATTGTAGAATATGTTGAAGAATATAGTTATCGAATATAGAATATAGTTAATATTGAAGAAATTGCTACCATTTTTTAATGAATAAACCTGTGTTGCAGTGCCGCATTATATTAGCTTTAATATAGTATTAGTAATTATAATATGCACCAGTCAATCGCTATTCGGAAAAATTTAAAAAAGTTTTCTACTCAGATTATCTTTTATACGATAAAATTTATCAAAATGTTTATGATATAGGTGATATTTGACATAACTATTGGAGAAAATTTTATTGGTAAGATTGTTATTGGCTTATTCGGTAAAACAGTTCCCAAAACGGCCAAAAATTTTTATGAATTGTGTAAAAAACCGAAAGGTGTAAGTATTTATTTTACTGAATATTTTGATTGATTTCATAAAATCATTTATTTTATCAAAGAATAATGTAAAAAATTGTTTTAAAATTAAAAGTTTTTAAATCCATTTTTAATGTATTTTATAGGTCGTCACGAATGTTATTATTATCTGCCTGTCTTTTATTATGCCATTTATTTTCTTTCCATTTTTAGAGTGGATATGTTGGTTCCATATTTCACAGAGTTATCAAAGATTTTATGATTCAGGGTGGAGATTTCACGAAAGTTTGTTTTATATATTTTGTGCCGTTTAGTTTAGATCGATTTAATGCTGTGATAACTATTGTAATTTACGTTACATTTTTGCACTATTTTATTATTTTATTTAAAAGTATCATTTCGAAAATTATTGTTCATAATATAAATATATAATATAATTCGAGGGTGATGGAACAGGTGGTAGTTCCATATATGGTGAGAAATTCGCCGATGAAAATTTCAAATTAAAACATTATGGTGCTGGATGGCTAAGTATGGCAAATGCAGGTCCCGATACCAATGGTTCACAATTTTTCATTACTACAAAAATGACTTCATGGCTTGACGGAAAACATGTTGTTTTTGGAAAGGTCAAGTATATCAGTTTTGAATCTTTTTTTATTTTACTATAATTTCTCAAATTTTAAAAATTCCTTCGATTTATCAAAAAGTTTTTAGGTTCTGAGTTGATTTTTCTTCTCATCACTTTCATCCATTCAGATTTTTTCAGGAGCCCTCAAGTTTTTTCTCAAGGAAGAATATTTTAATGAAATAAATTTCTAGGTGCTGGAAGGAATGGATGTTGTACGAAAAATTGAGAATACGAAAATAAAGGAAATGGACAGACCCGAGGTGGATATCACTATTTCTGCATGCGAGCATATAGTTATTGAACAACCTTTCGCAGTTCATCGAAAAGATGCTGAATGATTTTGTTCTAATTTTAGAATTTAGTTGCCATTAAAAGTGTTTCGTTAAATTCATTTTTTTTAACTGTGGTGATTCGCCATTTTTTTTTTCAGTTTAATTTACGCCAATTTTACATGTTTGTTGTGCGATTTTATTATTGTTACACTATGGGCTAATTCAAATTCAGTTTATTTCAATTTATTTTTTGTTGGATATTTGACTGTTAATTTGTTGCATTCTAACAAAAAAATAGGTAAAAAATATAAAAAATATCCATTGAAATGGTTAAACTGATGGCTAACACATTTTTCTCACATTCAATTAATAAATTCAAATTATTTAGTGCTTGTTGTAGAGGGATTAGATTATTAGGAATGGATTGGCGATGTTTAGTACACGAAGTTGGACAAATGAAAATTGATTCGGGTGGGATGTGGTTTTCCCGTTGATGGTCTAATGATTTATCGTCGTACCCAAGCAGGCTAAGATATTTTTATTTTTATTACAACATAAATTATAAAAGAATAAAGGCTCAAGATAAAAATTAAAATTAGAAAAAAAAGAGAGGGGGGCAAAATAAGAAAATAGGGTGGATGACTTCAGCTTATTCCTGTAAAACAGTTTCGACTTCGTCTCTATTTTAGATACATTTTTTTTTTCATTAAAATTTAGTGTAAATGGCATGCAGCGCATAACAAAAACTACGTTATTTGATTATGCTTCAATAGTTATGAGATTTTGCTAAATATGCTAAATTAGTTTTTTTTGGGTATACAAAAAAGGAATTGGAATTTAAGGTTGTTAAGCTAATTAACAATTTATTTGAGGAAATTGAATTTATATATTTTTTTGTGTTCGCTATTTGCGATACTCCCGACTGAGAAATTAGGAACTTCAGGTGGGAGTTTACTAGGTTTATAATAAAAAATGGTTTGTTTGGTAAATTTTCTTCCTCTTCTTTAATTAGATCCGTCCGTAGTACATTTAAGGAATAGCAACAATTTCCTTTTGACTTGAATTCTCTATTAAATGAACAAATAATAGATCTAATTAATTTGAATTTCTTTTAATAACAATCAAACAGTTGATACTATGAACATATATATATATATATTTACACCGATAGTAATCGAATTCATTCCGGTATTCCTGTATAAACGCTGATTTATCTATTTAATTCCATAGAACTATATCAGAGCCTGTTACGCATTTTCCTTTGCGAATTTGCACAATTCTCAACATTAAGATCAGAGACTAACTCTCTTCCGTCATACAGGAACATTTCTCCTTGAATTAATAGGAAATTCGATTTTGATTGACATTTGCCTCCTAACCATCCATAAGAGTATCGTATTTCATTATTTGTTATCCATTTATTCGGAGAAATTTGATTTAATGCTATTCCCTTTTGATTATTTAAAGCTCTACAAAATTGCGAAGTTGTTGGAGAAGTAGTCGTTTGGTCAGAAACTACTGATAATGATAATCTAAAAAATGCTTAAGTGCATACTGTCCGAGTGACATTAATGCATTTTATGGCCGATATCCGTACGTGGGTCTAAGTATATATGTTAACCTTGATTGGTGTAAAGGTTTGATTCAAGAAAGATTTCTTCACAATTCCACCTCTCAGAATGTTAAATTGTATACCAGATATCCATTTGCAATTTTTTGTCGTTGTTGCCTGTTTTAACGTCATTCATCGTTAAATTCATCGTTATTAGTAATAAAGTTTTTATTATAGAATTTGACTTACTTCGTATTCTTGTTGGAGTTCTTTGTTGTCGTGTAGCACTTATAGCTCGTCGTGCAATGGGTTCCTCTTGTTCAGTGCTTTGCTTTGGTTGATTTATAGAGTTCTCCAACATTACCGTTTGATCCTTCGTTTTTTCTTCGTGTTGAATTTCCAATGGATATAACATATTTTTATAGGTCGATTCATTAATCTTCCACGTGGTAATTCTATTAGAGGACTTCTTACCTTATTGTCGTGCCCTTCATTGAGTTTCTTTATTTTTGCTTATTTCTGTGCGCCACGAGGAGCATTTTATTCGTTTACTATTACAATTTCTCGTTCAATAGGAGCTCTAGTTTCTACACTTCTAGGAAATTTATGTTCTACTTGTGTTAATAGCTAAACATTCCTCTTTCTTTATTCACCAAAATGTAATTAGAAAATCTAGAGTTTTTTTTTGTACTTACCCACTATTTGATAAGTTTCTCTTGAGTGTTTAACTTGTGAAGAGTATAATCATCTTGATCATCGGTATTATTAATAGGTATCGTTAGAAATAAGTCTGGAATAACAAAGTCGATAGGTCTTAGGATTGTGGAATCGTCAAAGTTTGCATAAGTTGATGGGCGAGTATTAATTATGGTTTCTATTAAGGTCATAAATTCTTTTTTTTTAACAATTTTCTACCTATAATCTTTCTTAATGTTCTTTTCGTTAGACCGATCATCCGTTCGTAAATTCCTCCGCTCCAGGACGCCTTGAGAATTATATTTCTCCATTTTATTCTATGTCTAGTTAGGTCAGTTGCTTTTCTCGTTCCATTAAGATTTGGAAAACTAACTGAAAATTGACTCGCATTGTCACTTGTCTCTGGATAGGCGCATCGTGGGACAAAATATTCAAGAAGCTTTCAGCAGATAAATTATCTGTTAATTCTAAGTGACTGCTCTAGTAATAAAACATGTAAATAAAGCAACCCATCTTTTTGTAATTCCCGTTTCTGTTTTGACGGTGTTTTGAGGGCCTATCCAAGCCAACTTGTGCAAATGTTCATGATCGAAATGCTGGACAATTAGGCATAGTTTAAATGGTTTTGCCTCCAACGTTTATATATCATGCATTTATTCAAAACTGTCTATCCAAAACTTCCGTTCTTCCTTTAGGTATCCAAAAGTTTTTCTTAAAATTGAAATCGTATGAGCCGTTCCATCATAAACATTTCTCGTGTTGTCGTTGTATAAAGATTTCGGTTATGCGATTATGTCTAGGAAGATATATGGGATGCAATCCTTGTTCGTCTAATTCTGAGATTTCTAGACGAACTTTAGATTTCTATACTCATTCTTCGTTATGTAGATTCTATTTAATGATTTCTTTTTCTGTTAGTCCTTCCGATTGGGCTTATCTAATCAATACATCCATAGCTAGTTTATGGTCTTCATTATTGAAACGATTCATCCCTGATGAAAAATGTTTAACCAAGGAATTCTTTGCTTGGATATTAAATTGAAGAATTTCAAAGCCCATGCTCTTGCTTTTATCAATCTCGTCCATTTGCTGAATCTTATTGCGTCGGCTAATATAAAGGTCTTATTAACAATGAGATGCGCAATGATCTTCTGATTTTGTTCTTCACTTTCACTTTCATTATATATTTCATCAATATTCCCAATGTGACCAGTCTGACTCTTCCTTTGTTAGCCAATCTGGTCCCTTCCACCATAGTTCGAATCCTGTGAGTTGAAGTGGAGAGATTTCTCTGGTAGCTACATCTGGATTACATTCACTTGGAATATAGCGAAATGAGTACTTTGCTTGTCGTATCTCGATTCATGGATGAATTTTGGTAATAGGCGAGAATAATTTTGGAAGCACTTTTACCAGATTACTCGAAAGATTCGGATGATTTCTTCTCAGTGGATTCAGTTATTCGATCAGATTATGTATATTCCAGTGATTTAATAAAATTGCTTTCTCATTTGGAAAATGGACGTCCTAAAAATATATTTGGAAGTTCTGATCTATCGTATATGCCTCTGATGTGGCTATTTGATTTTACGAAACATTGTGGCGTAATAAGTGGCAGCCAGGAATCGCTTATTCTTCGTATCTTTCTTTCTCTTTTGGTTAACTTAATACATGAATTAGTGTACAATTATTACTTGACATTCCATCTTATTTTTACTGGTATTATTTAAGTCAAAATTTTTTTATTCTAATTTTGAAGATTTTGAAAACGGAATATTTTGATAATTTACGTAGAGACGATTAGAAAATTAAAATTCGAGACATGTCTTATACCGTAAAAATAAACAGATGCTGTTACACCAGTCTGTTCAAAATGCTGTGCGATTTTTTTGACAAAAATTCTTCATTTTCGTCATCGATGCAGTTCGATGCAGTATCAACCATTTGCATAATTTTGAACCACCAAGAACGTTTGGACAAGCCATTTGCTTATGGTTGGTCAAAAAGACCGAATTTCAGCGGAAATCTTTTAATGCTATAGATCACTTGCACATGTGAAATACTTCACAGTTCCACAGTTCAAGGCTTAAAACGAACTTACCTATTAGTCCGAATTCACAGAATTTATCAGAAGGGGCTTTCATTGCATATTCTTATTGCCACCTTATGTCGGAAAAACCGAAATAATAAGCGTTTTCCTATGCTTAAATAGGCTTACTTCTGGTATTTTTGAATGTGAATTTCCCTTGAAAACACTGTCAATTCGTAAAGAAATTATACGTCTAATTATAAATTAAAAGCTCTTTCCTTAAAAAGCATTCCTAACAAAAAACAAGAATGAATGTGACCAAAGATGAGAATGGGTTTATTTGGTCGTTTTGTTATTTGGCAGTTTTGTGATTCGATCGGATTGGGTGAGTTTCTCGATTGGTCTGTTAATCAGTTAGTCAGTCAGTTTCTAAAATACCTTCCTATTCAATCGTAAGCCTACCAACCTTTCAGTCGTTTTCCTATTTTTCAGTTCGTTATAATATTGATATTATTTTGCACATCGTTCTATTATATTGGTATTTGGGCAGTAATAAAATCTACAAAATCTACTGCCTGTATATTCCAACTCTAACTCGTGAAACCGTCGACGAGTACGCAAGTCACTTCTTTCAGAAATTTTAGTTTTTTTTTCTTCTTTCTGATTAACAAAACCATTCACAACACTTCATTTCCGTTATGCTCAACAAATACCGAGAGACACACAAAAGAGTTTCGCGCTATTTGTTCGAAATCTGCCATTTTCATTCATTTCTTCATAAAACAAGAATGCTTTAGTAAGAATGCCTTATTATACTTGTTGGTTTTTTTCAGATATTGCAACGGAAATCAGCGCGGAAAACGCATTCTACATTGCTGACGAACTGCAAAGAACTCGAGGATACAAATATTTTAAGGGAAGGGATAACTGCAGAAATCGTTAACGTTAAGGCAGAACATAGAGGAGATCCGGACTAGGTGCGAAGAACCCTCAACCACATTCAGCCGCCACCTCCTTGCGATACGTCGCACAACTAGAAAAGATAATTGAGAGGCAATCGTCTAGAATTTCGGAACAAGCCGATTGTTAGCAAGTGTCTAATTGTCAGTCTAAAATGAATTGCACTCGGTTAGTCAAATAATTTGTGCGAGAATTTTTTCGCTGAGCGATTTGCAGAAATTTTTCGCTTTGCTTATTATTGTTTATAAAGCGAATAACCTTTGCAATTTTGAGAAATTTCTTCAATAAATTCGTAAACTAAATTATTTCGTTTTTTTGCAGTTTAATTATTGCACGTGAAAAATTACGAAAATCGAAATTATTGCGTCGGTGGTTTAATTTTATTTATCAAAACAAATTTCGTAATTTTTATTGAAAATTTAAGTGGAAAGGAAATTAGTTTTGGCGAAAGGAATATTAGAAAAGTCAAAAATCAGAGAAATTGGAAGTGAGAAATTAGTGCAGAACAATTGTAAAGGAGGGGATGCTCGCCTAAGAGTTTTCGCGTCGCACGCTCGCTAAGGGCGCGTCGGACTCGGTTATAAGCTCCTTTCGACCGTTTAACTTGTATTTGCTTCTCAGGGCAAACCTCAGGTACGAGAGGAAGCATGGCATTCCTCGCATAGCGGACAGCAGACAGCAACACAAAATATTTGCTGCTTCAAAATCTCTTTTCGCATTTTCTTCTATCTGTTCAATGAGGCTTGAATTTTACCCAGAATTTAAGCTCTATGTGCATATTGGTGAATTTCGGAACATCGATCTCAGTCGACGAGGATATTATCAGGTACCGCTCCTCCCTTTCTGTCCATTTTGTCGCCAGTGCATCTCAAAAAAGGCATTTCATTTTGTGTGCCATGCATTTATACTTTCATTTGCTTTTCTCAATTCTCTTCTTATTCTCTCCTCTTCTCATATTTCATATTTAATCCGCAACAGTTTATTGCTTTTCTCTCTTCATTGCTTTTTTTGGTAAAATGTATTTTTTGGAGCGTTGAAAACATAATTTATTTTTATTTATTTAATTTATTTTTAATAAAACTTTTATATTATGCAACCAGTAAAACAGCTGAAGTATATTTCTCGCTGACGAAATTTTGACTATCGATTCTCTTTATTCATCTTTTATCTTATTCTTTATAATATTTGTTATTTTTTTGCCTTAACATCTCGTAATCGTAGAATTATTCCTTTATTTGTCTACGATATTATAGAAAAGGACTTAGAAGATTACGAGTTAATAAGAATTTGCTTTAAAAATTTCCTTCTTATTAATAGTTGCAATATAAATTGTTAGATCCTAATAATACAATGTTTATTTTGCATTTCTACCTTCGAACCACTACCTTTACCACTACCTTTACCACTACCTTTTGTCAAAAGTAGTGGTAATTATTATAATATTGTAATATTGCTATAATATTGTTTTCCTTTCATTTTTTTCAAAAATTTCGGTTATTTTTTAGATACGCTTCAAACTAAAATCTACACTTCCATCAACAATTAATGTTTACTATGAACGGGCTTCTTGTCCCAACGTTGTTTATCCTCCTTGTGTTGTTGAAGGTTAGTTTTCTTTAAATATATATATATATATATTTCATTTTGTTAGTTTGATCCACCCAGAATTGATAGTGCGCATTTTTTGTTTAGTGTCGGAATCATCTCTCAATTTAATTCATTTAATTTTTTTGTTTAATTCGCTGATTTCTGGGCTTTTTTTTGTAATTTCCTCTATAAATCGTGAGAAATAAGAAAGATGAGGAATAAATTTTTTCCACAAATTTGAGTTTCTCTTGTTTTGATGAGTTTTTGAAGAATAATTAATTTTCGATGATGAATCTTTTATATTTTATTGGTAAAATATTGTTATTTTTTGAAACTATAATTCAGTTTACTTTTAATAAAATTTTTTTTATATTGTGCAATCAGTAAAACAGTTGAAATAATTTTTGCTGACGAAATTTTGACTATCGATGATTGTTTTTATTGTATTATAAATGTTAGAAAACATATTGAAAGTTTCAAAATATTGCCTCTTCAAATGATAGTCGAATTATTCTTTCTCGATCGTATTTTCCCGCCAAAGTATATTTTTTGTATTTATATTTCATTTAAAAACTAGCTTTTTTTATATTTTAATATTACCTTTATAATATTTTTCTGATTCTCCTGGTTTAATTATGGATTTGCTAAATGATGTTTTATTTTTTTGATTGGACAGTTTAATTTAATTTTTATCTAAAGGCTTGTTTTTCAGATTCGAGTCATTTTCTGCTATTGCTCAACGAGTATTAAATATTTCTTTAAGAGTGGATCGTTCATTTCATGCTTATCGCCCTTTATTTTTTGGTTATTCATCTTTCAGTGTTGTTGCACTTATTTTTCATGCGTCCCTAATTTCAATTTCAAACGCTAATAGGCGACAGTCGCCATATTTAGTGCGCATTTACTCATATTCATAGCATTTTGTTTGAAATATCCATTAAATTCTTTGATAAAGAGTGCTGTAACTACTTACTTTAAAGTTGAATTCGAAATAAATTTTATTTATCTGTTTATTCTTATTCTTTGTTTTATTATTTATATTTATTTTTATTTGGTAAATATTTATTTCGTAAGAAGCTATGATTTAGATAAAAAATTCCAAAATGTATGAAATTCATCGTTGCATTTGTGAAGTTACACTTTTAACTTATCGTTCGATGCAGATTTTTATGGATAAATATAGCAAGCTTCTTTCTTCTCCTTTAACTATCGGTGAAAAATTTTTGGAAATGTTTTTTTTTTTTTAATTATTACCATATATATTCCTGATTAATTGAATTTTTTAGATATTATCGATGTGGAAAATAGATCTCGTCAGTGTTTGTTGGCATTACAGTCTAGTGAAAATCCTTTAATTAAACTTGAGGAGGATCGAAAATGTCTTTCGCAATTTTTATTTAAGCTTTTCTCGCAACTTATTCAGGCTTTTTCTAGGTCTCGAGGTCTTCAATTAAATTTCATTGCTCAGTTTTGATTGTTTTACGCATTGCTTGTTATACTTATCATTTTCATCTTTAATAATTGCGATAGAGAAATTGGTTGTTTATTTTTCTACAATATAAAAAATAAGCCAATCGGTGGGTTTTTTAAAGAGTCCTCGCCATTACTGGTTAACTGGTCAGTGGTGTCTCCACTGGCTTGTCGCAATTGGGCAATAAACAGGGAGTCCCTTGGCGATAGAAATGCAGGTGAGTCGCCAGCATCACCCAGATTTTTGCACAAGTTTACTCCTGTCGGAAATCGAACCTCAGCATCGGCGTTCCCAATTGAGCAACAACATATTGAGCCATTCCATCCTGCAATCGATGGATTAGAAGAAATAAATTAAATAACTTTAAATTTATTATTAGTTTTAATTTTTATTTTAGTTCTTTTTATGTTAAATTTTATAATTTTCTAATTTTTATTGGTTTTTTTTTCTTAGAATTGGCAACAGCATTATATGATGAATATTGTCATATTCGCATCAAACGATTGGGAGAAGGCTTCTTCTTTTTGGATGATGGTGTGCAGTCACTTTTGGCTAAAGATGACTCGTATCAAATCGTATCGAAAATAACCAATTTAATTAAAAAAGAACCTTACTTCTATTCATTACCAAGAACAGATTTGCATTGTGAGGGTATCGATATTGATTCGTCGAATATGTACGTTTTACAATTTATTAGGCTAATAAAATACTTACGTAAAATAATTTACGTGTTTTCAGTACAAGCATTATTGAGTGGCGTTATCTTCCCTCAAATGTCTCTCAACAGAAATCAGTTGATCGTTCAGATACTTCATGGGCAGAAAAGCGAACAACTGTAAAGAGTAATCGGCAATATGCAAAACTCAATGGTTTTTGCTTTCCACTCAGTTCAACGTCTGAAGAGCCTTATAAACTTTCTAAATCTATTAGCAGCCGAAGTTTTAAATCTGTGGGCTTTTGATACCTGTTTTAAAATAATTAAAATAATTATTTTAATTGATTGATTTGATTGATTTTAATTGAAGTGATTAATCATCAAGTGCATGAAACTCATGAAATTCGCTTCCTTTTTTATTTTTATTTTTGATTCCTAAATTTAAAAAAATTCCCAAATTATCTATTCAGAACAGGCGTCGTTTGACTGATCCAGAATCATCTATTTATTTAATGAACAGAAATGCGCATTCTCTGTCGCCTAAGCCATCTGAAAAATCAAAATCAGTTTGTTCCATGCTTTTGCGAAATATCGATGCGGCTGAACTGATTTTAGTGATTTTTTCTTTAATTATATCATTTTTTGCACTTAATATTTTTGTATCTACATTTTATTCAAATTGGTTTGAAGTATTTGTTTGCGGTGATTTTTCCGGTTTCCTTTCAGGATCCAGTGATGGATTGCAAATTGTTGAATGTCACTTCGAATATTGGTAATTTAATGTTTTTTCATGTTTTCAAATAGTGGATGAACTAAAATAATTATAGCTTTTTTCTTGGTAGAAATTGATTTTTATTGATTTTTCGCTATTTTTTACTATAATTCATTCATGGCTTAGAGAACACGTTATTAACTTGGTTTCTGATTATAAGAATTATCAAAATTCTTCAATTTGTAGAAAATTCTGATTCCTCGAGGATTTCAAATATTATTTGTGAAAAATAAAAAGGTATCTGACTTCTTTTTTTCAGGGATTTCAAATACGATCTGTGAAAAAGAAAGAAACAATGATGAATTTTCAAGAATATCGCGGGTGATTTCGTTAGATGAAGAGGTAGTGAACTTCGTGCACAGAAAGGAATCCTTCAAGCTAAAATTACAGGAACAAGGATTTCGAGGGTGTCTTTACAGGTTCTAAATATTTAGAAGGCATTGACTTTTTATTTTTTTATTTGCTTTTGCAGTATTTTTCTAGTGGAACTTTGGTATTCTAGAAAAAAAGCATTAAAGCATTAGTATTTGTGGAAACCGTAGCATTCAAAGAATCATTTTTCAGTGAATTTGTTAATTTCTCTTATAAACCTTCATTTTTTTCGTCGAACCAAATTACAAATCACTCAGAAAATTTCCATCTTGTAGTTTTCGTCCATGGGCTAGAAGGTTTGATAAATTCTAATTTTATCGATCAAAATTTGTTAAATATAGATTTCATAAAATTATACTGTAAAATTATAAAATTATACTGTAAATATAATACTCAAAAAAGATGAATATATGTAGTTGTATATCTAAAAATTTTTCTTATTAATTTCTATTTTTTATGTCCTATATATTCATTCATTATTTATTTTTATTTATTTTCGAAAAATTCATTTTAGGTGATTGTGAGGATTTAGTATCTTATCGAAATTTTCTTCGATTATTGCTGCCCGACAGGAATCTCAGATTTCTCCTGTCTGAATCGAATCAGGTGGGAGCGTGGATTGATTTGAATCAGTTGGCAGATAATTTACTCAATGAAATATTTATTTTTATGGAGAATTGTTCCATGCGACCAAGCAAAATTTCGTTAGATTTTCGATTTTTGAAATTTTTTCTCCTTTTTATTCTTCTTTCTTTAAGAGCTTTCACCATTGCCAGTCGGCCTCATTCCGTTATTTTTTTTGGACCAAGCGAAGCGATAGGCGAGTTGCCAGCATCGTTTACAACTAGTGAGCCATTCTGCCTTCGTTCTTTGTTTCCGCCGTTCGGGTATTCCCTCTGGATGAAGTTGATGTATTGGCCGGATTCGAAAACCTTGATTCTTGATTCTCGATGGCAGTTATGTCTAATCGTCTCATCGACCCATCTTTTTTTTCATAAATAACATAATGACATATATTGCTGATCTATTTTAGATTTATCGCTCATTCAATGGGTGGAATAATTGTTCGTTGTATGCTAGGACAAGAGAAAGCGAAGCCAATACTGCCTTTCCTACATACTTTATTAACGCTGAATACACCTCATTGTGGATTGTTGTACAATCAAAGAACTGCTAAGTGGGGTATAATGGTTTTTCTTATCTTAAAATTAACTTTATGCAAGATGAGAGTACTTAAAGCGTTATTTCCAGGGATAGCATTTGTTCAGTGGTGGAAAAATTCAATTTCTTTAGAGCAACTATCGCTACGAGATTCCGATTCTGTGAGAGAGACGTTTTTGTATCGATTAAGTTTGAATAATTCACTTGGTCTGTTCAAATATGTTCTCCTTGTAGGCTCATACAATGATGCTTATGTACCATATCATTCGGCTCTTATTCAGCATTGTAAAGTTGGTTTTCAATTTTTAAACGGATTTAACGAAATTTTTCTTTAAGAATTCAAGAAAAGAATCGTTTAATTTTAATTTCTAAGAAGTACAAAAATAACATTTTTGGCTTTGTTTTTCTTGAATTTTCAATTTCTTTTTTAATTTATAACTTTATAACTTTAATTTTTAATTTGAACTATGATTTTTTGCTAACCATTGTTTAATATTAAGACTGCGCAGAAGGATCATTCTGAATTAAGTAAATTATATGCAGAAATGATTTTTAATTTAAATGAATCAATTGTTAGTTCTTTTCGACATACGACGCTAATAAAATATACAGTTTTTCACATTCTAACGAAGTTTTCAAAAGCGAACCAAGTTATGGGTCGAGCAGGTTTGCATATTCCTGTTATATTTTTCTTTCGTTTAAGACGAAATAAAAGCTATTTTCACAACACTGCAGTAATATATGGTTTTTAAATCTTTGGAAATTATGATTTTGGACTTCATACAAAGTACCATATTTGTAGCTCATATTGCTGTGGTGGATGACGATCTTTTCATCGAAAAATTGCTCCTATCTGCTGCAAAATATTTTGCGTGATTCATTTATATTCCTTACATTATATATCATTTTATTTGCTTATATTTATAATCCATCGTTAAAAAGATGTCTTCATTTTATTTTTCTCGAAATCTTCTATTTATTTCTTTGGATTTCCTTATCCACCGAATCACCGTTGTTTCTTCTTATCACTCCCATTTTGCGTTATATTCCCTCGATATTCCTGTTTAATCGTCTTATTATTACAGTTTTTGATTATAGCAGATTGTCAAATTTTCCATGATTTTATTATTAAAGAGATCCATTCTTTGGACGAGCAGAAATTTTTTTAAATCTTGGCATGTCTCACCGATACTTCCTCAAAACCCAATGTATTCTTTTAATAAATCCACCTTTGAATCCTGATGCACTGTTTTGATATTCGCTAAGTGCTTGCCTCGAATTTCCACTGCATTTCTTCAGCATTCCCATTAGCCTTTATTCTACTTTTTACAGTGCACTGCTTTGGCTTTGGTCGAGGTTAAAATAAAGGGAGCGTTAAGCATAGTTTGGGAGACTAAACGATGAAAGGAGTTTAAAATAATTTTTTGTAATAAAGAATAGTAAGTTTAATTTTTCTAACTGAATAGCACCATTTTGGAGTGAGAGAGAGAGTGTATTTGATGGTGTAATTTGAAGTTTTGCGAAGTCTAAAGCATATTTGTTAAAGGGATGAGATAAATTAGTGGTTTAAAGGTGAAAGAGATGCTTTTAGAAGGGAAGAGATGCTTTTGTAATTGGATTTAGAGGAATAAAAGCATAATTTAACAGGGATTGGAGAGAATTTTGACAGTTTTTCCCTATCACTATGCGCTGATATAACAAATTAGATGTTTCATGGCGAAAGAGGCAGCAGAATTTTGTGGCGTTGAAAGAAAACACTTCGAACGGTGTTTGAGTGATGTTTCTGGGGAATTTAGCGAGAGAGTTATAAGTAAGATGATTGCATAAAATAGATATTTGGGCATATTGGAAATTTTCGATGTATTGCCGGCCAACATCATGTTTTTCTTCGTACCCATACAAAAACATTATTGTGCAGATTTATTTATATTATAATTTGTTGTGTAACATTATAAAATTAAAATATTTTTAATATTTTTTTATTTTATGCAATTATTGTCGCGAAAGTTTACGGGTTTCATTTGGATTTGGATTGATCGAACTTTTTTTGCAGTTTATTTTATCCGAATCCGGATTATTTACCCTATTTACTGCTTAAATTTTAAAATGGCACTCGTCGCAATCCAGATTTTTCATTATACCCAAACAGATTTCTCTTCTCTTTTAAAAATTCCCTCTGTTTTGCTTTTTAATTTATTTTCATATTTTATTTATATATTTTAATTTATTTTTAATTTATTATTTTATTATCGTTATGTGACAGCGTAATATTTTATTTTTTATTGAATGGTAATTTTTTGCCAATAATTATTTCGTTCTTTCCTTGCTTTATCTGTGTTTTCTGTGTTGTTATTCACGCTAATACCACTTTATTATTCGTTTTCTTTTTTAAAGAATCGTTAAGTCATCTATATTTAAACTGCTGATAAGATAAACTATCCGCAACAGGTAGCAGGCAATAAGCATTAACCAATATTTACATCTAAAATTACTTTGAAAATTTACTATTATTATTACAATTACTATTACAATTACTTTGAAAATTTAAAAATTAAAAAATTTTGGTGCGTTTCCATTGCCAATGGTAATAGTCATTTTTATTTTTATTATCTTTTTTTTATTTTGGAAAATATTTATTATTTCTTTAAATATTTTAGAAAAATTTAACAATTTCTTGAAATGCAAATTTGTACATAAATCTAAAATAAGATTGTTCGATAGAAAAAAGATTATCGCTTCGATTTTGATACATTTCTCTGGTAAGTCATTTTGATACACCATTCGATAATAGCAAGTGTGAAAGAAAATATCAAGCCAGTTACCTTTAAATAAATTAATATCTTCAGTATATATTGTAAAAGTTTATAGATATTTTTTTAAAGGTATTATATAAGCGATAATAGTTCTTGTGGTAATCTTATTCTTGAACCGCCGGTTTGGGAGGATCGTTTTGGTATCTACAGGTATCTCCATTCTCCATTTCTGGTTATTAAGGACCTTTTAATTAAAAAATTATATGAATCTTAAATGAATTTTCAGCGCAAACTGGAAGCTATGGGCATACAGTTCACATCATGGAGATTCTGAAAAAAATTGAAGAAAATAAAACGTGAAAAAGAAAAGAATGGTTGCGAGTTGACCGATGCCTTGTGAATAATAAAATTTAGACAAAGGGAAATAAACGAATTATGAAATAATTAAATAGATATATAAATAAATATAAATACAAATAAGTAAACATATTACCAAAACAATAAATATGCCATCGAAAGAGAGCATCGACATTTCGCCAGCCGTCGTTTTACTGTTTTCACATTCTAATGCTCCTCGTCCTTTCTTCCACCATTTATCTTTCAGTTCAGTTAGGATAGTTTTTTCTTGTAAATCTAATATTGCAGTTGATATTGCATGTCGGTATGGTGAACCTAAAGGAAATAAAAATTCGATTTGAGATCCGTGAAACAAATACCGGTCGGAAATGCAGGTGAAAATGAAATTTCGTATTTTTTTTTCAGTAAGCAAAAAGTTGCAAAAAAGATTTTTTGGTGAAACTCTGGTTGAACGAGACGAAGTATTTTTTGACTCGCAGCTCGGAAAGGAGTGCATTAAAGGTGGAACCTAGCTGCCACTGAGGACCAACCAGTAATCTGTTACTAATTAATCCGACAAATTGAGATATACAAAAGATTATTATCGTTGGAATGCATTTTCTTGCCTTTAGGTAATCCAATTCCGTAACCTTTTTGATCGAGCAAATCTCCAATTTGCATTAACTCACAGTCACGTTGGATGGCGTATTCTAACATGGATGATTCCATTAAATAAGCGTAATCGGCAGATTTTACTCGATGTATTCCTTCCTTTGATGAATTCACAAAATTTAGAATCGGTTGACTCGACATCGCTTTCCACATTTGCTCATATGTATCGATTTTTGATTCCTGAAATTTTTTTTATTTGGGTAATAAATACTTGGCAATCTTTTGCAATACGCAACATTCATCGTTATCGAGAGAATTCCATGTTTCGCTATCTCTGGTTTGATAGCAATTGCTGTTTTTGGAAGATCATCTCCAATTAGTAAAATAAAATATGTTCTCGATTCTATGCGTACTCGATGACATGGCAATATACGTCGAATAATGAATATTTATATTTTTTATGTTATTTTTTATACATTTATAAATTTATTATCCATTTCTATATGTTATGCTATATTTAAGGAATTTGATTATTGTTAAAATTAACAGATTATCTCATAATTTATTTACTACATTATATTCCATTAATTATATTTATCAAATGTAATTGTGAATTATCAAGGTTTTTTGGTTCTCAGAAAATAAAAACTTTAAAAAAGAAAATTTACACTGAAAAAAGTCATAGTTGATCCTTTGCCGAGTGTACCATATTTAATTTTTGTTTGCTTGGCTAAATCATCGACACTTTCAATCGGTGCAACCATTCGGTAGGCTGTTATAAATGCTGCTAGATTTGCCGTATATGACGATATAAGGATTAACGTGAAAAACCACCAAACGACGGCAACAATTCTAGTGCTCAAAGCTCGAGGCGACAATTCGCTTCCCTAAATGCTTCGAATATAAAATTCTTCTATATTTAAATTGATAAATCATAAGATAAAGTTGGTCTAAGAAAATAATAACTTACTTGTTGCATAAGTGAACTAACAGTAAACCAAAACGAATTGAACATTGTAAATTGGTTTGAGAAAGAAACTACACTGTTTCCATCAATGGAAGCGCTTTCAAATGGTGAAATTCGTGCAGTGATCCAAATAATTAGTGATGTAATCTGAAACTTAAAAAAATGAAATGACCGATAAAATAGCTGAAAACAATTAAACTGAATAAGAAAGGAGTGGTCGAGTGGAGTGTTGCTTCTGTTGCTTCTACGGCAGCCACCACACATTACCTTCCTATCATTTCGCCACAATAAACTTGTCGTTGAAAGTGAGATTCTGGAGTGAGATCCTCATCTGTTCTGCTCACTTCTAAATGCAAGTGCCGCCAGTGAACTCCAAGAAATGATTTTTTTTCTTCTAACAGCTCTCACATTACTGGTTAGGCTGATTCCATTGGGTGCAAGGTAAAACATTTACCAAGCATGATCTGATGCCATCATCGACAGCAATAGAAGATTTTCCTTTTTCCATCGTTGGATCGCTGGTCTACCTATACGTTCAAAATCCTTTCCGACTGTATCAGTCCAGGTCTTGATTTGTCCTCCTCGCTTTTGACGCCATCCATCAAGGGTTTAGCAAATAGCGCAATATGCCTCAACTCCTGTTATGGACGACGACGTGCCCTAACCAGCGAAGGTGGATGTGAGATTTCATCTGCTCAACGGTATCGTAAGATGTATCTTGAGTGATCAAAGGCAGATAATATACTCCACTCCACTCTAAATGGCCAGGTCTCGCAATGATATAGCAAGATCGAGCGAATTGCGACTTCGTTTTTATAGTGATTCTGCGATGAGTCCATAAAGATTTCATCAATCGGAAGAAAGTATCTAGCTGCCATTATTGGGGTCATAATCTCGTCTTCAGTTCAGTTTGGGAACAAAGTCCGAGATATTTGAAATCTGGCACTTCAACCGGCAAAAAATTGATAAAAATAGGTGTTTCATCAGTTTTTTGTAAATAAGACATATAGACTTTCGTTTTAATTACATTGACCTTGAGTCCCTTTCTTGCTGGAATTGTTGATACGCTATTTAGCATTATTTGCATTTCGTCAGCAAAAAAGCTAAATTATTAGCGTATTAAAAATCTGAGATATGATATTCTTGACTGGTTTATACGTCCTATACGTCCCTTGAGTACCGACAAGTTTGTTATCCAGTCTGTTCCATAGTTGAATAGTACAGTATTTCGAAGCAGTTTGTCAGTTCCCCATATATACAGACTACGACGTATACTGATAAAATGTATTTATGAGTCGAATGATCTTCTCTGGAACACTATCGCTATCCAAAGCGCCGTTCTATCAATTGAATCGAAGGTAACCATAAAATCGATGAAACACGTAACAGTGAATTGCAGAAGGGAAGCAAAATTTTTCACTGAGACTTCTAGTAGATGATTCCTGGATAATTGTCGCAGTATCCTATTACCTTTGTCTTATTAGCTTTCCTGGGAGAGTATAATTTCTTTGTTCCAGTCATCTGGAATAATATTTCTTTCTTGAATATTTCTTTCTTGAATATCAGGAAGTAATTTATCAAAGCGCTATGAAGGACGATGGACAATCTTTGAAGAGTTCCGGCAGGAGGCCATCTTCTCCCAGAGTTTTTATTGGCTTCAAGATTATGGGCAACAGAGATTATTCTTCTGTTGGCAGTTCACAGTTGCAAACTTTTGATTTGACGAGCGAATAAGCTATGCCTGGGGTAACAGATGGCGCATCGTGGTTAAGTTTAACCTCAAGAAATTCCTTCCATTTTAAGAGGCGATCCTTAATATTTTTAAGGGTCACACCACTGCTATTCCTTACCATTTCACTGATCATTCCTTGAGTTTTAGTTGCTTCATGAAGAAGACGGAATAGCCCGCTACTGTCACCTAATAGATTCACCACTCCCATTTTCAAGGTCACATCACTTCAACGATTTTTGTTCCGCCTTTCTGCTGTCACTTTCTCCGAACATCCGATAATCAGCATCTCTGATATTCGTGCTTTGGCAGCAATTTTAGACAGTTGGACAATTGCTTCCGATACCCAGCTAGCGCACTTCCTTCTAATGTTTGTTTCTGGCGTGGAAATGGCTCATGGTCCTTTAGTTTGGGCAAGTATTCATTTGCCGTTCCAGAGAAATCATTGATATTTATTTCACTGAGGTGCTTCAGTAATTCGGTTTGAAATGCGCTTCACTTCCTCCGAATCTTTTAGTTTGAGATAGCTGAAAGATCTTGGGAGACGTTGTTTATAAATGTGTGATTAAAAGAAAAAGACCAATAAAAACTCCGAAATTTAGCTATATGTTTACCACGTATGCCATAAGCATAAAAATCCAAACAGTTGAGCTAAGAGGTGTCATGAAAGCGAAGAAACTCGGATTAGATGGATTTGGTTTTTTGAAAAGTATCGATATGCCTAAATGCATATATGGTACTGTGAAATCAATCACTTCACTTCGGCTAAAACTGATCGTTAATGATGCGACTGCAATATCAGCTTCCTGAAAATATTTCGACAAAAAAATTGTCGCAAACCTTTATAATTTATACATCATAAATGTTATATTTTTCAAAATATTTAAATATTTTTCAATTTTCCTCTTTGCTTAAATCGGAGATGACTTAGCAATCAATATATCTATCATAAATTTTATAAACATTATTGTGCTGCGCAATGTTTAGCAGGCTTAATTTGCACCGAATGAAGACACCTTGTCTAGGTATCGGTTTCACCGGAGTTTCACCAGCTCAGGTGAATTCGACACTCCATCGTTTCACAAGTGAAATGAACTTGCTAAAGATAACTGTTGTAGCCGAAATAAAGATCGAGTTATCATCTCAAATAGTTCACAGAAAATCTCTCAACTATATATAACAATTTATTTGCGAGTCGATGTTTTGCGCCAAAAAAATTTTATGATATATAAATATAAATTTATGAAAAGTATATTTTCTCCTTCTGACATAATTCACCATTTACTGAGATTAAAAAGATTTCACGAGTGAGATGGGTCGACAGCACCATCTATATTTTATTTTTAATAATAGGCTTATTCCGTCAACGAATGCAAGTCGAGCCTATGTTGCTTAACCTTAGTCAATGCAATATTTTATCAACCAATCCACTCTAAACCATTTGCATCACAGTAGCATAATGCTCATTTCAAGATCTAATGGGTGGATGGGTAGATTGTTACAAGTTATATGAAATCTATTTATGACTCGTAAAATCTTTTTATTCCTTTTAAATCCGTACCATTTAAGCGATTTCATTTTATTACAAGATTATGATTGCAAGATAATTGATTTTTCAGTTTGTAATTTATGCATTTTAATAAAGTGATACCCCTTTTCTTAACTCTTCGACCATTCCGTTCCATTTTCCATTCGCTTCCCGTGATCCGTATGCTTTATCTTTAACTTCATGGAGAATATAATTAAATTTACGAAGTTTGGCGATTCTTTTCAACAAATCGATGCAGTAGCCTTCATATCTATCATTACCAGTTGGAATTTCACCATTTTTTGGAACTCTTAACATTACGAATGGTTCTTCCTATAAATAAAATGATAACAATAAAGTGATAAAGAGAAAAAGAAATAATCACTGTTGCCCATAATCTTGAAGCCAATAAAAACTCTGGGAGAAGATGGTCTCCTACCGGAACTCTTCAAAGTTTGTCCATCATCCTTCATAGCGCTTTGATAAATTACTTCCTGATATGCAAGAAAGAAATACTACCAGATGACTGGAACAGAGAAATTATAGTCTCAACTCCCAGGAAAGCTAATAAGACAAAGGTAATAGGATACTGCGACAATTATCCAGGAATCAACCCACTAGAAGTCTCAGGATTTATTGCAGTACGGGATAGTTAGAATCTGAGCGAGGTGCGATTGTGATGACCAGATATTCACATTAAGAAGGATTTTAGAATATCGCTTCATACATCTGCAACCCACTGTTACGTGTTTCATCGATTTTATGGCTACCTTCGATTCAATTGATAGAACGGCGCTTTGGACAGCGATAGTGTTCCAGAGAAGATCATTCGACTCATAAATGCACTTTATCAGTATACGTCAGCGCAGGTCTGTATATATGGGGAAGTGACAAATTGCTTCGAAATACTGTAGTATGCAACAGACTGGATAACAAACTTGTCGGTACTCAAGGGACGTATGAACCAGTCAAGAATATGGTATCTCAGATTTTTAATACGCTAATAATTTAGTCTTTTTGCTGACGAAATGCAAATAATGCTAAATAGCGTATCAACAATTCCAGCGAGAATCGGACTTAGGATCAATGTAAAGCCTTATTGTCAAGAAGCTGACGAAATACCTATAAATTCATTGGATATCTTAGACGGTTGAGGAAGTGCCCAATTTTATACCTTAACAATACCTTCACTCTATTACTCTAATATAGAATGGCCAGGCAAAAGGCAAAATTACAATCCGAATAATTGCAGCTCGAAATGTGAAGGTATTTAAGGTATGTGAAGGTATTTCTTCCGATTAACGAAATCTTTGTTGAATCGTCGAGAAATTACTATAAAAATGAAAGTCCGTGTCTATATAGCTCCAATTCGCTCGATTTTGCTATATGGTTATGAAGCATACTGGAGGAGAGTGGAGGATATTAAGAAGTTACCTGCCTTTTACCACGTCTAAGATGTATTTTATAGCCGAATGAACAAAATCTCATGATCATATGATCACATGATCATATCCACATTCATTGAAATACAACTTGCATTAATGTATATCACAAAGTACCATCACAAAACGTTGTCTTCTCTGGTTAGGACACGTTCTTTGTCGCGCACCACAAGAGTTGACGCATATTTCGTTATTTGCTAAACAATATGATGGATGGTGCCAAAAACGAGAAGGGCCGATCAACACCTGGATTGACAGTCAGGAAAGATTTTGAAAGTACAGATGGGCCAGCAATATATAGGCTTGTATGATGCAAAAAGAAATAGTTTCTGTTAAAAATGGCATAAGATCGCGCAGCTTGGAAACCCTTGTATTTACTCTTGTACCAGTGAAGCCAACCTAATGGTGAAAGCAGAAGAAAAAAAAGAATGTTACCAAATAAATTGTGACTCGAAGTGTACGATTCTCCAACATTTCCGCCTTCAACGGAGCATCAACTGACTGATTAGGCGATAACAACACAAGTCTGTTTGTTTCACTAAACCACTCACCGAGCTAAAAATAGCCTAAAATAATAATAAGACAACTATTCGTATAAAATCTATTACATATAAAGAATGTAAGGACGAATGAACGAAAGTTCGCCTCTGGATTTTCATGGCTAATATCGCGATAATTCTCAATAATATCATGAAAATTAATAAATTTTTGCAAAACTGATTTTGTCGATATTTTTACCTTTTCGAATCCACTTTTTTCTCGTTTAATAACATTAATACTAAAATTAGCTCTTTTACCATGAATATTTAAAGCAATCGGCCCAGTTATCGAATTCTTAACTCGCGCCTGCAATTTAAACTTAAAGAAGAAATTCTTAAATAATATACTTGGTAATCTAATCAGGAAGACGTGAATAGTCGTGCTCCCGCTTAGAGTAAGGAATTTTCAAAATAAATTTGTCGTAAAACCCAGATGATTTATGAAGATGCGACACGTTTTCGTAAAATTTAAAGAATGTTTCGAATATTGCGATTTAATTTTTATCGCACAAAATATTTAAAATATTTTTTTAGTCTTAAAATATTAGATAAAAGATAAATTAGTTAAATTCTCTAAAAAATTTATAGATTAAATAAATATTTCTATTGATTTCAGCGAAAACACATTTCATTCTACCTTAACATGAAAATTTTTTCGTAGAGAAAAATAAGAAATGTTTTTTAGAACCTTCACTAATGAACTGATAATTCTTTCTCCATAAGGATGAGGTCGATCACAAAAAGAATATTCTTCAGCTGCAAGATTCATTCTATCTGCCCGACTTAATACGGATTTTAACAATGCCAAACTATCTGACCATACAGCAGCTTCTACCTTCAATTTTGCCATAAAATCCTTTCTTTTTAAAATGATAAAATGATACAATTGATAAAATTCATAAGAAATTGTATTTAGAAATT